AATGCCTGCTTGCTGTGTGCTGACAGGGATGCAGCTTCTGTCTAGCTTGCTTGCCTGCATGAGATCTGGGTCTGGCCCTTGCTGAAGCACAGAATCCCGGAAAGAATCTTGCTTTTCTCTTTTTCCAGGCCTCAAAAAAGCTGGTTGCAGCCACAGGGCAGCAGTGCCTGCCTCTGTCCGTAGATGTCAGACAGCCACAAACCATCGTGGCAGCAGTGGATGAGACACTGAAGCAGTTCAAGCAGATTGACATCCTGGTTAATGGTGAGCCACCGGACGGGCAGTGGGAGAGATGGCACAGGCTGGCTGTTAGGCAGGGTGTTCTCCTGCACAGGAGCTGTATTTGCTCTGTCTGGCTTATGCTGCTTTGCTCTGGGAGCATCTGAACAACTGATGGTGTGAACCCCTGAGAGCAGCACATAGGAACAGTCTCAAGAGGAACCAGAGACTGAGCTTTATTGGTCTCACTGTGGATCATCCCTACATACATGGAGCTACAGGCCATCGTTGGAACTGTTTTCACTTCATCACCTGCCTTACCCAAGCATTATTGCCTGCTGTCCCCCTCCCAGAAGTGTCCTGAGCTGACTGTGACCCCAACTGCTTGTCCTCAGGTGCTGCAGGAAACTTTCTGTGCCCAGCCAGCGCTCTGTCCTTCAACGCCTTCAAGACGGTGATGGATATTGACACTCTTGGCACCTTCAACACCTCCAAAGTCCTCTTTGAGAAATATTTCCGTGTAAGTGCCTCCTGGTAAGGAGGAGGTTGGTGTTGGTGCTGTGCAAAGCACGCTTTGGTGGGGTGGAAGGGAGCAGAGCCCTGCCCTGTCAGCCTGCCCCACCTGCCCTGCTCGCTGAATCCAGTCCATCCCCTTCTGGGCACTGCAGCCTCCGTGCCAGGAGTGGGAGCTGTGCTTTGTTTCCTGCCTGTCCCTAGCCACAGGGCACTGATTTGTGTAGCACCTGTCTGTGCTCTGCCACCTGTCTGGGAAGAAGCTGCACTCTGCTGCTCCTCTGTTTAGTTTGGTCTTTGCTCGTCCCTTCTACCTCCCACTTCTTTGGCAGGGCCCTGCTCAGTGAGCTGGCGACGCAGGGATGTCTGTGCCCACGAGTGACCTTCCCTCCAAGCCCATCATGCTCCTATGTGACCCTCATGCCACTCTCTCCTAATTCTGCACCTCTTTTCTCTCCCCAGGACCACGGTGGAGTTGTCATTAACATCACAGCAACTCTGAGCTACCGAGGGCAGGCCCTCCAGGTGCACGCTGGCTCTGCTAAGGCTGCTATAGGTACCTAAGTGCTCCTTGCTGAGTTTCTGCAAGCTGTGTGGGGCCAGTAAGGAGGCTGCTGGGTATTGGGATGGGAAGATGTCCCTGATGGGAGAGGTGAACATGAATCAGCATGGTTGCTGTGTGGTGCTGCACATGCCTATGTTTGATGTGGGGCTCTTCTCCTTTCTAGGGCTCTTTGTTCTTGGCCAAAACCTCCCTTGGCTTTTTTCCCCCTCCCGCAACAGTTGCTGGAATGCCTTTGCTCTCCCTTTTTCATTCCTTTTGCAATGTGTTCTCCTTCCCAGATGCCATGACCCGTCACCTTGCTGTAGAGTGGGGTCCCAACAACATCCGAGTGAACAGCTTGGCACCAGGCCCCATCACAGGCACCGAGGGGTTCCGGAGGCTGGGTAAGGCCCTGGGGGCCCTGGCTGTGTCTCAGCAGTGCTTTGCTGGTGTCTCTCTGGGAGGGGACCACGCAGCTCACGTGTGCTGCAGGGAGCTGCTACGCCTGGGGGCTCAGCTCTTGAAGTCCATCTGTGTGTTCAGCCCTGGAGGCTGGGAAGGCTCAGAGATCTCATGCCTTGAGCTCCCTGTTACAGCATCCAGTTACAAGTTTCACAGCTGTGCTTGAGATCCCTTTACTGAACTCTCTTTGTCCCTGGGCCATCCCTAGGGCTGTGCCAGCATCTCATTGAACTTCCCTGGGGCTCTCAGCAACTGACACCAGCCAAGCAGCGCTGCTGGATGGCGGTGTCTGGCAGGCAGTGGTGATGGGCAGGAGGTCCCGTGCTCATAGCTGGCTCTTTCTCCCGTCATTCAGGTGGAAAATTTGCCAAGGACTCAAAGCAGTTTGACACGATCCCCCTGCAGCGTGCAGGGAACAAGACAGAGATCGCCCACAGCGCGCTGTACCTGGCGAGCCCCCTCTCCTCCTACGTGACTGGAACCACACTGGTCGTGGATGGTGGGAGCTGGCTGACCTCTGCCAACAACTTCTCCGCCTTGCTGGGTATTGCTTCATCCTCTGCTAAGCTTTAGGTGACGTGCCTTTCCCCCTCTGTGGGATTAGAGCAGGCCTTGTGTCAGAAACCCTGTTGCCCCATGGTGTAGAGGCATGGCTGCGGTACCAGTGGGTACAGCATTGCCCCTTCTTGGTCGTGCTGTGCTGGGCTCTGCCTCTCCTGAGGCTCAGGCCATCATGCCATAAGTGCCACAGCAAGCTTGGGGGGTGCTGGGCTGTCCTGAGAGGGTTTCAGCACTCCCCTGCACCCAGTTCCTGCTTGAGCAAGGGAGGGATGAGCTGTGGGGTGGGCAGATCTCTTGTTCCTGCTGGAGGTTACTGTCTGGGCACCTCTAAATGTCCCCAGGAGCAAGGCAATACCAAGGCAATACCCGCTTCTGTGCCCCATCAGCAGGCTTGGATACACAGACCCGACAGCCTCTGCCTCCCCTTTCTTCCTTGCATGAATTCATAGAATCACTGAATGGCCTGGGTTTTAAAGGGCCACAGTGATCATCCAGTTTCAACCCCTGCTATGTGCAGGGTCGCCAACCACCAGATCAGGCTGCCCAGAAATCACTGCAGCATGTATCTTGGGGTTGCAATGCTCTCAGGACTCACTTTGGCTGCATGTGCCCACGGAGCTCATTGCCAGGGTTGGTGCTTTCTGGGAGAGGAGTCTCCTTTCACCCCACTCCTGTGTGGTCCTCGAGCAGGGCCGTGTGTGCTGACCTCCCTGCTGTCTTGCAGATGTCTGGGCCGCAGGAGCAAACAAAAATCAATGATGGACAGCCTGGGATTGACTGACGGACAGAAATGTGACTGAATGCTGCTTCCTTGGGACATCTCGGGGTGGAGCCACCCGGAGTGAGGAGCTGAGAGCTGCAGAGAGCAGCAATGTGGTGATGCTGCTGAGCCCACTCCTGCCTGGGGGAGGGAGCACCAAGGATGCTGCGGGGGAGCAGGTGTAGCCCAGCTCTGCACTGTTACAGTCTTCTGAGCTGCTGTGGCTGAGATTGTGAGGATAGAGGGGATGGGCTGTGGTGCTCACTGTCTGGCTTTTCCTTTCTGGAGTCCCAGTCCTGGGTATCTGACCACTTCCTGCTCTTTCCCCTCTCTTTGCCTGAGAGCAGCACAGCACCCCCGCAGCAGCTCCTTATTGGGATGGGGGATAGTTCAGCCCATTCTGGGTTGGGAAAAGCCATACACCTCCCCACTGCCAGTGCTTGCTGCCAGACCTGCAGCTTGTCCTGCTAGGAGAACGAGATCAAACGAGATCAGCTGCAGTGCTTGGGGCATCTTTTGCTTGGTAACTGTTGGATGCCAACTAGGACCAGGGTGGCTCTGGCAGGGGGATGGACAGCTGCACTTCCTCTGGGGGCTCCCGGCTGGAGCAGCAGAACCCTGAGGCAGGTGCAGAGGTGCCTGAGATGTCCTTTCCTTGGGAACAGAGGTAATGGGAGGTGAGAGCTGACCAGGGATGGCCCCACCAGCTGAGCCTGAGCTGTCTGTCTGTCTGTCAGCCCCCTGCTGTCTGTCAGCCCTAATGGCTCTGGCACTGATCTCTCGCTGTCCCCTTTCTATGTCCAGACACCACAACAGAGGGTGAATCAGAGGCTAGCAGAAATTCAGCCCTTGCTGAGCAGTGCTGAGCTGGGGAGCTGCAGGGGCTGCACTGGATGTGTGCTAGGAATGAATTGCGTGTGCTCGAAGGGCTCTGCACTGCCCTCCTACTGCTGACAGCAGGATTTTAGCTTACCCTGATTTCTTTTAATCTGGTTTTAAAGATTGCTGAAGATCGGTTTCTTTTCCTACATGATTGTAAACTTGACAGGTTTTGCTCCTTCCTCCAGGCCACGAATAAAGAACTTCCAGCCTCAGCTGTGCCGCTTCTCGTCTGTTTGCCTGCCTGGAGGGGGGCAGGGAGGTTTATCCCACGTCCATTCTGACCGTTCCAGCTCCCAGCAGCCAAAGTTTTGAGTGTTGCTCCTTGTCTTCGGGCGCAACGATTAGAGAAAGAGCTTCAAGGGAGCTGAAGGAAGGAAGAGCTTTGCAGCACCACCGGTCTCCCCACTGGGGATGCCCACCGGGTCCCTGGGCAGGGATGACAGGGAGTCGTGAGGGTCGGGAACGTGGCTTGCGTCCTTTGTCCCGTCTTCCCTGCAGCTACGTGCAGTGAAGGTCCCGGCAGGTGAGAGGTGGGACGTTGTGTGGGTGCAGCCCGGAGAGGCTACAGGGGAGCGACCGGCACCCACGGAAGCGGCTCGGGCGGGCGCCGAGGAAAGCTCGGTCGCTACGAGCGCCGCGCTCGGCGCTGCGCCCCACGTGCTCGTTCCGCGCGCGGCCCCTTTAAGGCCGGTCCCGGGGGGGCGGGGCTTCCGCTCGGCCCCGCGCCGCGTCGCGGTGGGTTGAGCGGGGCACGGCGGTGGGCGAGTGACGTCACCGCGCGGCTACTGCGGCGGCCGCGGGGGTAAATCCGGAGGTTCGCCGGCGGCTGCTCCGAGAGCGGCGGCGCGGGAGGGCGGGCGGCGGAGGGTTCGGTTCCGTGCCGCCGCCCCTTCGGTCGCGCGGGGCCGCCCCGCGGCATCGGGCGGAGCGGATCCTCGGGGCCGTCCTCCGGTGCCGCCGAAGCGGGCGGGGCCGGCGCCGCCTCGCACAAAGCCGGGCGCGGGCGGAGCCCCGGGGACCGCACCGACGGCGGCGGCTCCGGCCGCGATGTGAGAGGGGCGATGGCCGCGGGGCATGGCCGTGCCGCGGGGACCCGCCGGGCAGCGAGCCGGGCAGCGGCGGAACGGGCGGCCGAGCGCTGCCCGTGAGCATGGAGTCGCCGGCACAGCCTCTGCCGGCACCGCCGCTCGATCCCGGGCCGCGGTGGGACGAACCGGGACCGGAGGCGGGCCCGGAGCTAGAAGCGGAGCTGGAAGCGGAGCTGGCCCTGTGGGCAGCTGAGCCGGCAGCGGGGACGCCGCCATGGGCCCCCCCGGGGCGCGGGGGCTGCCCGGAGGACGAGCCCCGCCTGCGCCCCGTCTTCGACGCCCTCGACCGAGACGGCGACGGCTTCGTGCGGGTGGAGGAGTTCGTCCAGTTCGCCACAGCCTACGGGGCCGAGCAGGTAAGGACGGAGCCCATCCCGACGCGGCGGGGCCGTTCCGAGGGCCCGGCGCTCCCAGCCCTCGCACCTCCTGCTGCCGCACGACGCCCGGCTCCGGCACGGGGCTGCGCTGCTCTCGGTGCTGCGGTGGCAGCCGTCCGTCAATGGGGCTGAGGGTGCGAGCTAGGCTTTATGCCGGCCCTGTGCTGCCCTGCCGGCCTCGCTGGGCTGCGGGTTCGCAGCACTCCCGGCGCCGTGTTTTCCTCCTCCTCTTCCTCGCTGCCTCGTAGCAGATGAGATGCGGTGTAATTTGAAGCTGTCCGGCGTGACCCAAAATGGAGAAGGCTGCAGTTGGTGCTGGGATGGGTTTGGGTGCTGGGAGCTGCCGGCGGTACTGCGTGGGAAGGGCTGATTTGAGGCGTGCAGCCCTGCTGGCAGCGCAGCTCCGTGCCCGGCCCGTGCGTGCGCTCACAGGAGCTCTGCTCGCATTCCGGGCTGTACCGCTGCGCCGTATTCCAGCGGCATGACAAAGCAAATTACCATGTGTGAAGGAGTGCTGGGAGGAGGAGGAGGGCTTTTTGTCCACGTCCTCACGGGAAAAACGCCTCTTCAGAAGGAAGCGGAGGTGTTTCTTTGACACAGCACCTCTGTGACGCGGGGATGCCCGACGAGCCAAGGGGCGGCCGGCGTTGCTGTGCCATGGAGGGATGTCACGGCGATGGGGGAAGCCATGAGCTGCAGCGCCGAGCTGCCAGCCTGCTGTGCCCACAGCGCTGCCCTGGGCATCCTCTGCTGCTGCTGTTCTCTGTGCTCGTGGTCCCTTTGTGGCACATTGCAGGAGGATCCGACTCAGGACAGCGGGGATGCAGGAATTGTGTCAGCTCCTCCACTGTGCAGAAGAAATGCAGCAGCTTGCGGGCTGCTGGGGTCTGTCTGCAACCAGGTGGGGTGTGCAGGAGGTTCTGGGCTGTAGTAAAGGGTTATCTGCAGGCTGCTGGCTTGTGTCTCCTTACAGCCAGTTGTTCCTTCCCATTCTGTGCTGAAATACACTCTGCTCATTCCGTGTGGGCACTGAGAAGGCTTCTCTTGTACCAGGAGCAGGGACAGCCTGCCTGGTGTCATTGGGAACACAAGAGGCACATAGAGCTCAGTGCTGCCTGCTTGTTTGGCTGCAGCAGTTCCTAGCCAAACGTCAAAGGGAAGAACCCAACTGCCATTGCTGCCATGAAAACCAACGTACTTGTGAATTTCTTCCTCTGCATGGTGAAGACTGAGGGCTTTGGCTGTTGTTGAAGGCCTGTTGTTGCCCGGAGCTGTGGGATGGCAGCCTCAGGTGGGGGCACGCCTGCCGAGAAGGTTTTGTTGCTTCATGGTGTTGTGCAATAACCCAACTCAGCTCACTCCATTGAGGCTGGGCTCTGCCTGTCCCATTGCAGCAGCTCTGTGTTTCTTTACCAGCTTTGCTCCGGGCTGGGAATGCTGTGCTGTGTAGGGGAGGAGGAGGAGTGGTTGTGCACCAGCAGAAGCCCTCCTGCTGACATCCCTATCTTTTCTCTTTGGTTTTGATGTAGAAGATGATTGGAGGCGGACCAGCCTGCTGTACCACAGGATCCCTCTGCTCCGTGGAGTCAGCAGCTCAGCTCACCTATTTTAGCTCTCTCCAAGCATTGCGGCCCCTCTGCTTTCTGTGCTCAGGCAGATCTTTGGCCTTTCTTCCCAGCCCCGTTCCCATGGGCTGCTTTCTTTCCTTCAGTACTTACACCCCTCCTTGAGAAGCAGCCTTCCTCTCTCTCCCGCCCCTGAGCCAGGGTCTCTCTCTTTAGCTCCTCCCTCTTGCTGTTGATATCCCTGGGCCTGAGCATCCCCTCAGTTCCCTCCATCTCCCACTCACCCATCAGATCTCATCTTTTGCAGCTCTGACACAAGGGAACTTCAATTTCCCACCCCCCACCCCCCTGATCTTTTGCCTATAATGAGAATCCTGTGAGCATCTTTTGTGGATCTGCAGGCTGCTGAAGTGCCAGTGAAGCTTAAATTGCTTCCAGCTGTACGGCTGCACCTTTAATTGCTCTAATTGCCGTTTGGCTTTGCAGTCTGCTGATGGGAGCAGAGCTGCAGTGTGATGCTGTGGGCTCGGATGGATGGATGGATGGACAGACAGACAGACAGACTGTGGCCATGTGCTTTGGAAAAGAAGTGAATCTGAAGCTGTTCCCTTGTCCTGGGAGAAGCTTCCAAGCCCCAGTGTTTCTTGCTTGGGCACAGTGGATCATGGTTAAGCACAAATGAAGTTTTCTCATTTGTAAGCATCCCGAGGACTCCAATGAAGGGATTATGTCTGCAGTGTGGGGAGGGTGGGTGCCTTTTTACTTCTCCTGTTAACTTTTGGCTCTGAGCTCTTTGAAAGGGCCCTTTTTTGTGGCTGGGAATGGCTTAGGAGCGTATCACACTGCGGGCAGATCTCTGTGATAACATCAGTGGCTGTAATCAGACCGATGGATGGTGACCGTATCCCATCCACCAGCTCCTTTCAGAAACCTTTTTTATTCACTCTTCCTTCTGGCACAGAGGTATTTTGGGAGCTCGCATGAAGCCCAAAGCCCGGGCAGGAGGGCAGGGAGCAGAGCCAGGTCCTGGCAGGGGGCTGAGGGTGCTGAGGGTTCTTATGTCTGCTACCTGCTGGGGGCTTTGGACCCACAGCACCGGCTGGGTGGGCAGGGAGGAGCCCCTGTGCAGGGCTGTGCTCTGAGCAGAGGCTGAATTCTGGCTCCCAGTGAGGAGCAGGGTGGGCTGTTCTCAGGGCTGTAAGCAGCAGAATGGATCTGAGACTGCCGACCCCCCCTGGGATGGGGCTGCAGCAGCACGCAGCAGTTCCGCACTTGGAGCCATCCTGACACTGCTTCAGCTATAAACACTTCCAGAGCATTTCAGAGCTCTGCTGTCATTATGTAACCCAATACAGGCGGTAATTGAGAGCCATTACACCAATTGCCTGCGTAATTTCTCTCAATTTTACCCCTACTTCGACTTTGACTTGTGCTCAGATGGCTTTGAACCTGGCACTGGGGCAGGGAGTGATGCTCTGCACCCCATGTGCTGCACCCACCCGGGCTCCCTATTGAGAGGCACCGGACCGGTTCCTCCACGTGAGCATGAGCAATTCTGAGCTGGGTGAAGCAGTATCACATTCCAGAACGTGGCACTTCCCTGTGCTTTTGCTCCCTGCAGCACGGCTGGGGGTCGGCAGCACGCTGCCAGCATTACGGCAGCTCGGGGCCGCGAGTGGGATGGGGCTGTGCTTTGCTATCTCGCTGCTGTGCTCGGGTTGTTCGTCTCTCCTGCTGACACAGAAAGCAGATTTGTCCTTGGGGAACGGTGTATTCTGTGCTTCCAGCAACTCCTGCATGCCAAAAGCTTTTCCCACTCTGACCATAGCGTTGTTCTCAGTGCGGCTCTCCTGGCTGCGCTCCTGTCTGGTGCAGCAGCTCCTCCCCCCGCTCAGCCCCATCCCACAGACCCCCCAGAGCCCCTTTCCACCTCCATTCAGGAAGGAGCAAAACCCAATGCCAGGAGCTGGAGCTGGGTGACCTGGCAGGGGAAATCCGCTCTGCTGGAGTCCAGCAGGAAGCTCAGGCTGAGCAGGAGGAGCTCGAAGCTGTGCTTGTAGGACAGAAGCTTTCAAGGGCAGGAAGCAGGCAGTGAGCTTTCCCTGGCAGTTCTGCCGTGCTGTGGGACTGGGGGCTGCAGGAAGACCTGCTGGCTGAGGGGCAGCGAGGTGGATGAGCGTCATCCAGCTTCTTGTAGGGGTGTTATAGGGTTGGTGTTTGCAGCCTGCAGCCCTCAGTCCCCTGTATGTGACCCCCCCAGCACACATGGGGCTTGTTGGTGTCTGTGCTGCTTGCTGTTGTGCTGCAGGAATGGGAGCCTTGCACAACACCTCCTGTTCCTCTGGGTGCAGCCGGGGCGTTTGGAGGGGTGAGAACAGGTTTCCCCCATCATTAGAAAGACAAAAGCTGGAAAACAAAACCTTCCCCATCGTGGAGGGCTGGAGGAAGAAGAACTTTTTCAAGTTTGGCTGAACAAATAAACGTGTTTATTACGGAGCTGGAGCGCTTGGCAGGGACAGGAAATCTGGAACGCTTGAGGCAAAAGCAATTAAGTTCGGATACAAGCATTTCAGTGTAACTTCTCATTCCCGTTGGTGTTTTCAAGCCGCCCTCAAAGCTGTTCCCTTAAATGTTGCTGCAGCGTAAAAGCAATTGATGCACAACTTAGTCATACCTGGGCTCTGAGAATGAGTTTATAAGCACAACAGAGCTTGGTTGGAGGAGGTGCAGGGAACCCGTGGAGCTACACGGCCCAAAAGCCCCAAATAACCCCAACTGTTCTGGAGGAGGGGAGGGTGTTGTCAGGTTGGCTACTGGGGGAAAGTTATTCTGTGAAAGAGCAGTGCTGCAGTGGCATTGCTGCGCAGGGGTGATGGGGCCAGTGTCCATGGAGGTGTTCCAGAGCTGTGGGCAGTGAGCACAGTGGGGTGGGCTGGGGTTGGACCTGGGGGTCTGAGAGGTCTTCTCCAACCTGAGTGATTCTGCAGACCTGGTGGGAGGGGGGGGGGGTTCTGCCAGCATCAAATCAGCTGGACGTGGGAAACGTGGAGCTTTGCCTGGATGTGCTGCTTTGTTCTGCTCTGTAAGGATGGCAGGGGGGGTCCTCAGCATCCTCACTGGTGTTTGTTAGGCCTGGGAGCAGGGCCCGGCCAGGCACAACCTGCTGCCTTCCTCCCAGGGCTCCATGGAGGGCAGTGCCCACAGCAGCCCTGGCCCAATGCCACTGCTCACAGAATAAATAATGCAGCTCTTGTGCTGCTTCCTCACAATCGACCATTGCCTCTCCCTGTAATGAGATCTGCCCCCTCGGGGGGTAGTTTAGAGGTTAGTTAATTAGGTGTAATTGCAGCATGAGAGAAGCCTGTTGTGGGGTTCTGCCTGCTTGCTGTAGTGCCAGATCCTTTGACAAACGATGGAGTGAGTTCCTATGAACATTGTTGGGGCAGATGGAACCCCGAGCTGCCAGCATGGCAGCATGCGTGGCTGGCGCCAGTGGAACTACAGAGGTGCAGTGCTGGGAAGGGCATTTCTGCTCTGGGTTCTGTGCAGCCCTGTTCAGATCACAGCAGCATCCCGGGACGCGCAGTGGATGGAGAGACACTGAGTTCTGCTCACAGTGTTTGCACACCCAGCACACGGGGATGGTGGTGGGCTTAGCACAGACAAATGCAGCATTAGGAGGGATCCATTCGTTTCAGCTGATCACACTGCAGCTCGTTGGGGCAGCGCAGTCTGTGGGTCGTGCAGTGCCTGTGGGTCTGACAGCAGGAGCACAGTGCTGCCAACACATTGCACGTCTCCAAAGGTAAAGAACACAACTTCTAACTTCTTAAATTAGCATTTAAAAGCATATGTGTATATATATATATATATATATATTTTTTTTTTTTTCTTGGGTTTAGCCCACAGAGGCAAAATGATAACCAACAAATGAAGACACCTACTTGTGCCCTCCAGGAGCAGGGCAGAGCTGCTGCATCACAAGCAGGATTGCTCCTTACTGCATGCACTGTTGAACCCTGTGCAGCACCTCAGGCTGAAGAGCTGGGTGGACATAAGGAGGAGAGCATCCAGCCGGGGCCTTGCCTTGCTTATCAGAGCACTGATAACAAAAAGTCCCTGAGTTTGGCATAAATGTCAGTGTGGCACTCAGCTTTCTCTCTGCTAAAGTTCTGTGGGCTGCCCAACGTCTGCTGCCACAATCCTGCAGGCTGTCCTGTCCTATGCTGCAAAGCAAGCAGACGTGGTAGGGCAGCCTGCAGTGCAAAAGCTGTGGGTAAGCAGAGGGGTGGGCTGGGTGAGGCTGAGCAGAAAGCTCAGGCTGGCTTTGGGAGTGTTAAATGGAGCGTGGAGCCTCGCACCGAGCCTGCAGAACTGCAGGCTGCAATAGGGGAAGGTGGAAGCAGAGGCTGCTAGGAGCTCAGCAGCCGGATTAGAGCAAGGTTTTGTGCTGTGTTGTCTGAGCTGAGCGTGCAGATGTGTGAGGAGTGATGGCTGGATGTGCAGCGACTTGCAAAGCTGCTCAAACAGCTATAGAAAAAAACGATAGGAAACCTTTCTGGGCTGTCCACAGCCATGTTCTGTGCTGGAGCAATCCGCTCTGGGGTCGGGTCTGGCTGGGGGCAGCAGTGAGGAGCGGGTGGGTAACCGGAGCTGCTGGGCTGTGTGTGGCTGTGTGTTTTCTCTGCCCACCGCAGCCTCAGCAGGAATGCAGTCCTGGGGCTCCGTCCTGTTATAAGTGAAATAGTGATGTGTTCTAATCTGCTCCCAGGTTCCCAGCAGTCCCCAGTCAGCACTGGCTGCTGCCACCGGGTCAGAGCGTGAGGCTGAGTTGTAGGATTGAATCTCCTGAGCTGGAAGGGGCCCACAAGGGCCATCAAGGGCAGCTCCTGGCTCCACGCACCCACATCTAAACCCTGCATCTGAGATTCCTGGGGGAACCTCTTCCTCTGGTGCTTGTATTTAGTCTAAAGCCAAGTCCCAGCCAGCAGTGTGTTGTGTTGGGATCCAGCCTGCTCGCTCCATTGAGGTCTTGTCCCCCAGCAAGCTGCTCTGTTGCTGTTGGTTGCTCAAGCAGTGGTTCTGTTGTCCTGCTGCATCCATCCATCCACCAGCAAGGCCCACTGCTTCCTTTTCCTGGTCCATGGGCTGCTGAGCTGATGGGAATCCCTTCCCTTCCTGGAAAAGCCCTGGTCATGCAGCTTCCAAGCCTTTGTGTCAATATGAATTTGGAATTGTCACCACTGGCTTAGCCGAGGAGCAAAGCCTGTTGCTTTTTGGAGGGCAGAATGCCCTTCCTATGGGCAGAGCTCAGGGGTACAGGGCAGGAGGGGTACAGGGCAGTGTGGCTGGTGGAGCAGGAGGTTCTGGCCCTGCTGTTAAGGTGCCCACTGCCCTCCATCCTCCTGCCCCTCTGCTCCCATCCCCATTGCAGGCTTCTGTCTGGGGCCAGCTGGGTCAGCTCCCCAGAGCAGCAGCTGGGTGTTCCTTAACCATGGTTTACATCTTTCATTTTTCACTCAGGGTTCAGATGGGCTTTTTAAGTCATGCTGTCCTCTCTGACCCTTCAGTGCTCTGTTTCGGGCTGCTCTCTGCAGACAGGACCACGAGGAACCACTTGGATTTTGCTCTCTGATTGCTCCCTTCCCTGTCCCCAGCACTGGAACTGCCCTTGCAGTGCCCTGGGACACTCCAGCCCCACAGAGCTGCCCAGTACATGTCCCCTTGTGCCCTCCTTGCGCACTGCCCTGTCCTGTCCTCTCTCCAGGCATCATCTCATTGTGCAAACATTTCAGCTATGTGGCCTAAATTTATAACGTGAAACAATCCATCACCACCAAGCCTTCTTAATTGGGCCCTCCTACTGGGCAGCCTGATGATGAGTTTTCCCAGTTACAACAGGACCTCTCCTAAAACACAGAGATGATGAACCCTGCGAGGTAACAGTGCTGTTGTGCTTGCAGGTGAAGGAGCTGACCAAATACCTCGATCCCAGCGGACTCGGAGTCATCAGCTTTGAAGATTTCCACCGTGGGATCAGAGCTATCAGAAATGGAGGTGAGCTGGGTGCTGTGCTGCCGATGGGTCCTGCTGTGCTCTGGGTGCTGTTGGGTCTGACTGCAGCTGGCAGGGTCAGTGTGCACCAAGGGCCGCTCGGATGCTGCCCTTGGGTCTGCTTGGCACAAGAGCTCCCATAGTGACACAGTAATACTGTGTTACCTGGCTGGATGGCTGAAGGGAGGAGGAAAAGAAAGCCAATCAAACAATAAAAATAATCCCCAAAAACACAGGGACATCTTTCAATATGTGATTCATCTCAAAGACAAACACTGGAAGGTCGTTTGGGGGCATGGGTGTTGGTTAGGCTATGGGAAACACTGGGAGGCTCCTAGCGAGCAGATGTGACTTTACATGTGCAAATAGGAAGCATCACATTTGCACATTAATCCATTCTGTTTACAGAAGGGCTTGTCTTAAATTTCAGCCCTGCTTTGGTGCAGTAGTGTGAGTGTGCTGCACTCAGAGCCTGCTCCTGAGCACCAACACCACCTACAGCCATTGCTTCCCATACAGACCAACTCGTTTTGGGGGTGGAAACCCTCTGAAAAGGTTTTGTTGGTTGCTCATCCCTCCTTCCTGCCCCACAGCCTGTCTGTGTGCAGCCCTGCCCGCAGCAGTGGGCATTGCAGCTCATCAGTTTCACTGATGCAGGAGGAAATGCATCATGCTATTAATTTGTAATAAATTGCCACTGGAGTCGGGCGTGTTTGTGAAAGCTCTGGCTTGTGTTTCTCTTCAATAATTCATCACTCTAGTATTGTGTTGTATTAATTGAATGGAAAAAAGCAGATCTGGGTGAAGCTTTTAAGATCCTATTTATTAACCTAGTAAGAGATTGCTGTGTGTTTATTACAGTGGTTAAGTGTGGCAGACCTCTCTTATGTTGCAGGCACTGAATGGCTATGAGAAAAGCAGAGTTCAGCCTCACCAGCAGGGCTGTTCATGTTGAAATGAACATGAGGGTTCGTTGCTGCTGTTGAGGGGCCCAGTATTGATCATCCCTTTGCAAAGACAGAAGCCTGCTGCTGGCAAAATACCTCCTAATGAGGCTTTGTTAACTAGCTGGGCCTTTCTGTAGCTCGAGGGAGTCCTGTTGCATTTCCTGGTAGCCTGCAGCTCTTTGGTCCTTTGCTGCAAGTGAGAGCTGATGTAAGATTTGTGGTTCCTGGGGGTTTCCCATTGCTCCCAGCTGAGTGACAGTGATTGCACAGTGCTGTGCCTAAAGGAAGGCATGGGGGGTTGGCAGCATCCCATAGCACACATGTCCCATGTGGTCCCTTCATGTCCCGCCCCAGCATCGCAGGTGGCCTCAGCAATGAGCTGGGTGCTGATTTGGGAGCAAGGAGATGGTGCTTTGCTCCCTGCACATGGAATGGAAGGAGAAACCCTTCTTGGAAAGCTTGGACCTCACAGTGCCTGCTGTAGTGTTGGTAAGGCTTTATTTCAAGGGATGTTCTGCTTTCCTTTTCCTTTCCCCACCTCCTGGAGGCTCTCCCTAGGGGAATAGCTGTGATTTTCCTCAGCTCCTCTAGACCAACCTGGCAAACTGAAGGCAAGCTTGCAAAACTAGCAAAACCTGTATTGTCAGCTGCTATCCTTACACTTGCCTCCTGTGTCCGGCTGGCCTTTATGCACAGGGAGGATGCTGAACCCTCACTCCTGTTGCCTTGCCAGCTGCCTGAGCTGCAGAACACAGTGCTGTGCCACCTGCCCGCTGTGGTGGAGCAACGCTGTGGGTCTGAGCCTTGCTTCTGGCACCTGCTCTCCAGCAGGTGATGCCAACCATGGGGAAAACGAGCAGGACTGGAGATTGTAATGAGAAGCCTTACCTTCCACCCTTCCCAAAGAGAAGACTTAATGCGAGAACGTGGTCCTCAGCTTTACCGACAGAGAGCAAAGAATCACCTCTTTTAAATGTGTTTACCCTTCTTTTTTTCCTCCTGTTGTGTTATGTTTAAAGTCTCTTTCCTTCCCTGTGTGGATCCCATCTCTGCTTGGATTCTCTCAGTCTCCAAGCAGGTGTGCTGCAGGCATTCAAGTCCAGGCTGGATGTGGCTCTGGGCAGCCTCGTCTGGTGGTTGGCAACCCTGCACACAGCAGGGGGTTGGAACTGGATGAGCATTGTGATCCTTTTCAACCCAGGCCGATCTATGATTCTATGCTCTATGAGAAACAAGTCTGAGGAATTGCATGCGAGCTGCTTGGAAAACTCAGCACAGGACTAAGATGTGGATGGCACGGGGCTGAGCTCAGGATGGGGGCTGAAAAGCCAGCCAAGCCCCAGTGCCGGAGCTCTGGGCAGTGCCTTGCTGCAGGCAGGGCTGGCTGCTGGGCTCAGTTCAGGTTACTGCTGTTTGGAGCAGGGCAGGGTGTGTTCCTGGAGCCCACGGCATCGTCCGACCGCTCCTCACCCCAAACAAAAGGAGCTCTGTGCAGCCAGGGCGGCCCTGAGCCATCGGGGAGGGCCGGAGGATGGAAATAGTCAAATCTTGTTTCTTTCTTTAAAAAAATAAAAAATAATAAAAATAAAATAAAATATTGAGCTAAAAGCTCTTTGGATTTGGGAAGATGGAAAATCCAGCTGCGGAGCCAACACCCAAACCTGGAAGCTGTAACGGAGTTCCTGCCTGCGGGAAGCGCTGGCTGCAGTGAGTGGGGCACTGCTTGGGGGATGCCTGGGAGCTGTGGGGCTGGGAGCTGTGGGGCTGGGAGCTGCCCTGCTGATATGGCTCTGCCCCAGCTGTGCAGCACACTGGTGAAGGTATCTGCCCCATCTGGCAAGGTGGGCCACAGCCTGCTTCACATGTAGCCCCTTTGTAGGATCTGCATTGCAGATGGCTTCTGCTCTGTGCAACGAAAGCTTTCCTTGCACAGGGATAATTCCAGAAGCTGAAGCGTGCATTCCCTCCCAATCCAGCAGTTATTTTCTGAGGCTGCGTTTGTGCAGCAATAAATATGGCAGCGTTTGCAATGGGATGCTGCTAACGTCAGAGCCTGCTGCTGTCAGCAGGGCTGCCTGCGCCCCGTTTGCCATGCAAGGTGTTTGCTTTGTAATAGGTGAGACCTCACCGAAGCTCAGCAGATGGAAGGAGGGCTCCTGTGTGCACTGAATGACTCGGAGAGCATCTGGCACTAATGGGAACGCTTCGCACTTGGGCGATCTGCTGATCTCTTTATCCCTGCATTGCTGCAGTCAGTGCATTCCCACTGATCCCACCGTTCCTCCCATCAGGGAGACAACTCGTGGTGGCTGAAGGGACAGCAGATGCCTCTTTGTGTTTGGCTGTCACTCACAGCACTGGGGCTGCCGTGAATGGGAAATCAAGGTTGATTCATGAGCAAGAATGAGGTCGGAATTGTTCTGATTGTGTCTCTGCATCTTGCTCTGCTCCTACAGTGCTGCTTGGTGGGATGAGGGGTTTATGAGGGTAGCTGTTAATTCTGCCACCGAAAGGAGTGAAGGCTTAAATGCTGTATTGAAATGCATATTTAAGAGGGGGGAAATCTTCCTGCTGCTCTTTGCAGCGCTGCTCGTTGCAGATCAGACTTCACATCCCCGTGGTGCAGAGGGATGCTCCAAGCAGTCACTGTGCTTTTTAAGTGTGGAGCCCACGTGCTTGCAGTCTGTGACCCCTTCTGCTGGGGGCAAGAAGCTGAGCCTTTCTTGGAAGAGCTGGGCTTGGTTTTCTCTTGAAATAGTGCTTCTTCAGCGATTGGCTTGGAAACCACTGAGCATGTCCCTATGAGCCAGCTTCTGCTCCCAGGAGCCCCAAGCGCTGCCCGACACATGCAGCTGCTGGGCCGGCTTCAGAGGGGATGCTTCCTGAGATGCCTGTTGCCAAACCCTTTATCACCCCTCTAGAAACAAGGGCAAAGCTGCACCTGCTTGGACTGTGCTTGAAAACGGTACCTCTGTGTGGCTCTTGCCTCGCAGGGCTGGGGTTCTGCAAGCTCCAAATGCAGACCTCCCCGCAATGGCGTGAGCAGCAGTGTGCTGTGCAAGGGCTGACATGCTGCAGGGAGCACTGCTGGCTTGCATTTCCCTTAATTGACGTCAACAATTGGGCTTGTTCGTGTCCGTACCTTGGCAGCTCAGAGGAGGGTTGCATCAGAGCTGAAGCTGGCCTGCCCCGTGCCTTAGCAGGGAGGATGTCTTCCCAAAACCAGCCTGGCAAGCAGCACGGTGCAGTGACCTACTTCTGGGAGAAGCACAGGAGTGTTGCAGAAGCTGTGTCCGGAGGTCTCTCAGCTCCACCATGGGAATGGCAGGGAGTTGCTCAGATGTGCTGCTGTAAAGCTGCTGCTAAGGCTGAGCAGCCCTTGGGCTCAGCAGGATGTGAGATTTGCCCAGGAATCTCCTGCCATTTTCAGGATTCTTTCCTCATGAATGTTTTCACTGCGTGTGCCAGAGGAATACTTGCTGCAGCAGAGTGTAACAGGCAACACACAAAACCTGAGGGATACCTGCTTCACAGCAATGTGGAGCTGCCCCTGGTTTATCACTGCAAATGGCTGCTCCATGATCAGACCATCTCCTTGGCCCTGGAGATCAGCTCGGACTGCAGCCTCAGCCTAGCTAAAAAGCCCCATTTCTTCTCCACTTCTGCTGTTCTGGACGTAGTTTTGTTCATGCAGTCAGTAGAGGTCAGCAGGAACACTTTTGTTGAGCCAGAGGGATGGGGAGAACGTCACTGCTGCCACCCCTCAGCCCCTTGGGTCCACTCTGAGGTGTAACTGCTGGGTTTGAGATGCTTTGAACACAGAGCCAAGGATGATTAAGTTCTTTATAGAGAGAGATGCTGGAGCAGCTGCCCAGAGAGGCTGTGGATGCCCTGTCCATCCCTGGAGGTGTTCAAGGCCAGGTTGGATGGGGCCCTGGGCAGCCTGCGCTGGTATCAAATGTGGAGGTTGGTGGCCCTGCGTGTGGCAGGGGGTTGGAGCTTCATGATCCTTGAGGTCCCTGGCCATTCTGTGATTCTGTGATGCCAATGGATTTTGGGGGCCGGGGGCTGCACGCTGCTTTGCCATGGCCAGCAGCAGGGGAAGTGCTGCAGAGGACATGGTATCTCCTGGCAGCATGACCATGGAGGTGTGAGATGGGCTGGGTGCTCCCTTCAGACACAGCTCAATGTCTCTTCTCATGTGATGCATTTTCTTCCCTCGGTTCACCACAAATGCAGGTGAGTTCTGGTCAGGACGCTGCATTCTTCTGTCCTCTGAGCTCAAACCTGCCTGTTTTATAGATCACTATATTTAGTTTTTACTGCTGCTTTTGTAACTTACCCAGATTCAGAGGCACTGCGCTTATACTTAGCTTGGAGCGCAGTATTCCAGGTGTTCGTAGGCATGGTGCTGGGTTGGTTTGAGCTGGGTTGTTTGGTCGCTCCAGGTGGGAGCTCTGAGCTGGAGCTGGGTGGAGGTCGGTGGTGAGACAGTGCTGTGGCCTGGCACAGGGCTGGCAGTGATGCCAGCTTGCTTTTTGGGCACACTGGGCTCCTGGGTTGGTGTTTTCTTTACTTTTATTCTGCACATGGGACCGTCTTATCTAGGAGGTTCCTCACATTGTCTGCTGCCTGAATCAGGCAAGTTTGGGTTGGAAGGGATCCTTAAGACCAACCTGTTCCAACCCCCTGCTGGAGTCAGGGCCACCTCCAGAGCCCAGGTTGCTCACTGCCCCATCCAGCCTAGCCTTGGGTGCTTCCATGCAGAGGGCATGCTGCCTTCCCCACTGGCACTGGATGCAAGATCTCCTGAGCACCGTCATGTTTCACCCTTGCCTTGTTTCCAAGCAGCATGCCCATGGAGACGGCTCAGCCTGCAGTGGTTGCCCTCTCTATTATAGCCAGCCATGGCTTCGTGCTGCCTTCCTGCTATCTGTGCTGGCCAGCTTTATTACCGTGCTGAATAATTCAGGTCTGTTTGCTGCACGTAATCCATCCTGTTGGGATCGCTCTGAGTTTGTGGCTCTGTGGCTTGCAGCAGTATGTGTTGGCAGATGACTTAAATACTTCTGAAAGGCTCTGTTTTTCTAGGTCATTCCTACACGGAGCTGATAAAACTGGCTCTGTTCCTGACCCGTGTGGCACTACAGCTCTTCACTCAAGGTGCCTTTTCACCAAAACGCTGTCTTTTGAAAGTGGCTTTTGGAATCTATTTCAGGAGCCCTCCGCACCCCTTGCCTTCTTTTCCTGCAGCTCCACGCTGTGCTGCGTTTCCTGAAAAGCCCATCACAGCTCCCAGCCCTTCTGAGGAGCACTGAGACGATGGAGAGAGCAGTTCTGGCTGCAGTGTGAGCTCAGCACAAATGCAGCCCTATGCAGAGCCTGGGACAAGCACTCAGGAAAGCTGGAAATTGGATGTGGAGGGGAAAAGGGAGCACTGTGGCTGGACCTGCAACAGTATGTGGCCAGGAGCTCCCATCTCCAGGCTGTGCTCAGTGCTATCTGCCTGGGATGTGATCTTTGGTGGGGTTTGAATGGTTCCATGCTGGGCAGTGGGGAACTTCAGGGGTAGGAATAGGTGTCAGAGTGATGCTGCAGTGGCCTCATCATCGATAAAATTGCTTTTTTCCCTCCCAGTTTCACCTCAGCTTCACTAGGTGATGTAACTATGCTCAGTCTTATTGGTTCCAGCAGTACCTTCTGCATGTTCTGCATCAGCATTGCTGTCTTGGTGAAGCTGTCTCGCCACAGTAATTTAAGTAAAGCTTTATCTTGGTGCCTGGTGCCCTGCTCATGTATTCCAGTCTAATAAATCAGTGCAGTGAGTTTGGGAGGAAGGTGTAATGTGCAGCATATCGCCTCTCTGCAGGAAGGCAGTGGGGCTGAAAGCTCCCTGCAGGGTTTGCTGGAGCCTGGTTTGCAGCTTTGGGATTTGGGGATGTGATGGGACAGGCACCTGTAGCACTGAAGTGTAGGGGCAGCCTTTGGGATGGGCATGTCCTGATGTCCTGAGGGAGGTCCTGAGGAAGGGACATTGCCTCCCTGCGTTGGAAGGAGGCAGCTCCAAGTGTGCTGCACACATCAGCCCTGGGAGGGAAGGAGGATGCTGAAGGAAATCAGGGCTGAACAGAGGAGAAGTACATCTGCTTGTGGTGGGGGGGTGGGGAAGGGATGTGGCATGGGCTTGGGGGAGTTTGTGCTCCCAGCCATCCCTCACTGTGTGCTGCTGGAGCAGGGTTGCGTGGTGTGGAACTGCTGCTGCCATCCTGCACCTGCCAGAGCAGTGAGGGGTTCTTGGGTGTGGGGCTCCTTTGGATGGGAATTTGGAGGCTTAATGCAGCCTATTGAGCCGGGAGACTCGCAGGCGAGCTCTCCATGGCAACTCTACCCTATACACAAAGCAGCATATGGCTTTTTAGGAGGGGGAGGGAATGGGTTGAGCAGAAAATTCAACCTTTGTTGTTTGTTGTTTTGTTCCTTTTGGCTCTCCCACTGGAGCAGGGGGAGATGGGAGCATCACGCGCTGTCCCCTGGGTGTGCCACCAGCAAGGGACATCTCCAAGGGTCCCCTTGCTGTTGGTGACGGAGCTGGCCGTGCAAATGAGCCCTGCTGGTGCACAGAGCAGCCAGATGGAGCAGCCAGCCTTGGGCTCACCCTGTGCCAAAGGGCTCCTCAGTGCTGGTTTGGGCAGAGCTGTGCTGAAGGCAGCTGATGGCAGTGAGCTGCGTGCCCACGTTTTCTACCTCTGCTTCCAAAGGGAGCTGGCAGCTATCTCCTGATTGCAAATCCTCCCTTTACAAGCCCCTCAGGAAGGAATGAGCTGAATAAATATCTTTATCTGTGTCTGTAGGAAATCGGGAGGTTTTCTTGCCTCTAGTTAGAGGGGGAGGAAAAAAAGCAGTGGAGGGATGAGCAGAAAGAAGCAGCCTGCATCTGCTCTGCCAGCTCCGGGGTACCCCTGGCTCCTGGGGGGGCATGCTGGAACTGCTGGCCTTGGTTATCAGGAGAGGTGGCTGTTTGTCCCTGCTGTTTGCTGGCAGTGACACATTGTGGGCTCTCCTGGCAGTGGGCAGATGGCCTCTTGGTGCCCGTCCCCATCCCCAGTTTGGGAGCTGCCACCGAGGTGGCTCTTAGGTCTGCATAGAGAGCAGGTGATTAATGGGAAGAATCTCAAGTGTAGGCTGCACGGTGCTGTGCCCAGGGAAAGGGAGGTAAAAGTATAAGAGAGAGCCCTAAGCAACGTGCTCAGGAGCCCCAGCAGCAGGGATCAGCCCTCGCCCAGCGCAGGGACTGACTCCAAACAAGAGCATCTTTCATCTGCTGGAGCCACAGCTCGTTTGGAGCAATCACTGCGTGCCCATTTCTGGAAAAGCAGTCTGCCTCGTTCCTGGCTTTGATTTGCAGCCGCATCCGTGGGCTCAGGGCTCGTGTCGGTCCCTGCACTGCCTTCTCACAGCCCCAGCTGATGGCACCGGGGAGGGTGACTGTGGGCAGCAGGTGAGTGGAGGGCTCTGCTGCCCCATGCCTGCAGCACTTGGCTCAGCGGCTGCATCCCCTCCCATCCTCAGCCTCCAGTGGCTGCAGGCAGCCTGTCCCTCCTAAACCCATGGGATCACAGCTTCCCTGGGAGCTCAGCGTGACGCTGCCTGGCCAGGCTTATGGACACTGAGCACGGTGCTGCAGTGCTCACAGCTCCGAGCTGTGTGGGTTCCAGCCTGCTATTTATTTTGGGACTGCAGCAGCTGATCTTCATTTGGTATTTCCAGTCTGCGATGTAGGTCGTGTGCTGGATCGGGCATTAGCTGTTGCTTGAGGGAACGTGGGGAATTTGTGCTTTTTTGTTCTGTCAGAGGGCTCGGAGCAGTGCTGACCCACACAGCTCCAGCTGCATTTGGGGGTGGGAGAAGGAGGAAGAGGAGGAGGGAGGTTTTTAAAGACACCTTCTTGAAAGCTCCCATTCTGCTGTCCTCCTGCGAGGGCGGCTCCTGCTGTGCCTGGGCACGGGAGGAGCAGACATGACAAGAGCTTGGGTGCAGCCTGCCTTCCCTCCCCGCTGTTCCCATGGTAGTTGGCTGTCACACGCAGAACGAGCAGTGTTCCCTGCCCACAGCAGGATTGGAGCCTTCTGGGAGAAGATTAAGAGGATGCAGGAAGCAGAGATAGGGATGAAAGCAGGAGAAGCAGCAGAAAGCATGGTGGGGTAGGGCCAGGTCTGTGCGTTGGCCCCATAGGAGCAGCAAGGGGCCACGTGGGAGCAGCACCCCAGTTGCTTTCCGACCTTCTGGAGGTGGGATGCCTGCAAACAGAGATCCTTCCCAAAAGCTGAGGGCACCAGCATGTGCCAAAGGAAGTTCTCATCCTTCTGTCGTGCCTCCCTAATCATGCCTTCCTTTAAGGGAGTGCGTTTCCTTTTGGTGAATCTTTTTCATTTTCCTCTGCAGATCCTGACAGCCAGCTGTATGATATGGGATATACCCCTGAGGAGGAAGCCCCGGCCTGTCCTGATGAATTTGATGACTTCGTCACATTTGAGGCAAGTGTGAGCACCGTGGATATCTGTGTGTGCAGCATGAGTGGTGCACGGGGGGTTGGGTTGCAGGGCAGAGGTGGCTGCTATAGGCTCAGGGGTGGATGAAAATGAGTTCCGTCATCTATGGGCCAGAGAGCCTGCATCAATTTGATGCATTTAAAGCTGGTGTTTGGGCAAAAATCAGCTCGGTGTGATGCTGTCTGAGTTGTGGGGTGCCAGAGTGCAGTGCCATGGGGTGGAGGATGGAGATGCTCTTTGGGGTGGGACAGGATGGGCGCCTGCAGCTGTTTCGTTTGGCTCCATGCGGGGGTTTCAGTTGTTGGACAGTGTGAGCCCAGGTTTGAGCTGAAGCAGTTCAAGCCTGCTGCAGGGCACAGACATTGGTGCTCAGTGCTGTCCAGCCAGCAGAAGGTAGAACCAAAGACAGAATGAAGATTTCCTCTTCGTCCTTGGGGTTGGCTGAAAATGAGGCTTCCTCCTTCTTGCTGAAGGTGTGGTCTCCATCCCTCTTCTCCCTTCTGTATTTCTGGGCACAGGACAAGTTGTGTCCCCAGCTAGAAGGGAGCTGCTGTTAGGCGACCTGTTTGTTGTGGATGGAGTTTGCAGCTTTGCTTTCTTGGCTCCCCCAGTTCTTGCTCTCTGCCCTCCAGCCCAGAGCAGGAGGTGCTGCAGATGCTACTGTCTCATGTGAGCACTGAATAGCTGCCTTCTGCTTTTCCTTCTTCGAACTTTTGTCTTCAGGATTTGGGCTTTTGGTGCTCTCGGTTGTATGGTTTTACCACACAAATAGTTATTTCAACAGAGCCTCCCAACCTTTGTCACCTTTGTGTGTAAATATGCACATCCTTGCTGTTATGTGCCATATAACTGAATAGCTGAAGCTATTCTTTCAAGTTTCCCAACGATACACTGGGTGTTGGGCAGCTCATTTCCACGTACTGGTGAGAAGCACAGGCCTGTCACTTTGGATGGCCCCAAGCTGTCACTGGGTCACCCTGTTCCCAACAGCCAATGGGACCCCCAGTGTGCACCCAGCCTGGCACGGGGTACTGCTGAGCCCCATGTGCCACCCCGACCCTTAGGTGACCAGAAGAGAAAGGTGATGAGTCCTGGAACATCCCTCCCAGAAAGGTGGAGATGGATTCTTGTACTGAATTCAGGCTGATCTTCAAAAGATAAGAGCTCCTTTGGTGCCTTTGTTTAATGTGCCGGGGAAGAGTTACCCTGGTTGTCTTGGAGACGTGGTTTGGAATGCTGCAAGAATTTCGTAGGGATTCAGCACATGGGAACATGATGGAGAAATACGTAAAAATGAAGGGGCATCTTGGGGTGTGTGTGCTTCCTTCTGATCTCAATGAGCTCCCACTGTGTGCTTAGTTGTGCCCCGGGGTGCTGAGCTGAGTTGGGCACCCATCTACACAGCCACGGAGCTGAGAGCTGCTGCTATGTGACATTATTGTATTGGGGGTGTGGGTTCTGCTTCCCCTTAACTGTGCAGATCGACAGGGAGTGCCCAGCTCTTGCAATTGCTGAGGCCTTGACAGAGAGCATTTCTGCTAAATGTTTGTTCAAACAAGTGTAAACAAGTGCTTTAAGCAGCCTAAATGAAAATGCCTTCTCTTTGTTAATGAGGTTGCTCTTCTTGGTGAGTCATCCATCCCCTCTTCTGGTGGCTGTGATCAGAGAGCTGAACAGCAAGGAAAGCCCTCAGCATCCATCCAGCACTGGTGTCTTAACAGCTCTGCAGAGCTTCAGAGTCATTCAGGTTGGAGAAGACCTCTCAGATCCCCAGGTCCAACCCCAGCCCACCCCCCCATGCCCACATCCCTCAGTGCCACATCCCCACAGCTCTGGAGCACCTCCATGGACGGTGACCCCATCACTCCTGTGCAGCAGTGCCACTGCAGCACCGCTCTTTCTGAGCAGGAACATTTCCTAACGCCCATCCTGAACCTCCTCAGTGCAATTTGAGGCCTCTCATCCAAGGAGAACCAATGCTTGCATGCCTTGAAGGGGCATAAAAGCCTCTTGACGGGGGCAAGGTCTGAGCTCTGTGCTTCACACAGGGACCCCAGTGCAGTTATCCATCATCTCAGCTTTTTGTTCTGCAGCCCTGGGTGATGCTTTGCTTCCTGCCCGTGGTGGAGGCATGATGGCTGCAGGACAACTCTGCTTTTGTGCTGGGAACTGCCACCTAATGATAACCACAGTGATTTGGCTGCCCTGCCTGCATCGTTCATCCCAAAGCAGCCTGGAGGGAGCTTGGAGTCTGTCCATCCAGGCACCTGAATCCTTGCCTGCGTTGTTCCCCCAGGCTGTGCTGGTGCAGCGTTGCTGCTGAATAAGCATAGGTGGGAGTTGTGTGAGCTTGAACAGCACTGAGTCATGTGGGCCATTCACTTTGGAGGTGCAGGGACTCCTTTATAATGCCCAGCAGGAGGAAAGGGGCTAGATGCCTGCTGTGCTCTGCCAGAGGGCAGGGGCTCTCTCCTGGGGTAGCTGAGCCCACTGAAGCAGGCTGGAGCAGATCAGGCAGGCTGAATCTCCTCCAGCCCTGCAATAATAGAAGGACTCTCCCAAAATGAAAGCAAACCACAAAAATGAGGTGTGCAGCCACAGTTCCTCTGGGATTGGGCATGTAGACGTGTAAACTTCGGTGGGCTGGAGCAGAGGCAGCATCAGTGCATAGCTGTGCTCCAGAAGGGCTGCCCAGGAGCATGGCAGATAGCAGCAATGCCAATTTCAGCCATGGGAATGTGGGGAGGACCTTTTTGAGATGTTCAGAACGGGGCAGCTGAATTGCAGAAGGTGAAGGGAGGTGCACAGTGCTCACAGGGCTGTGCAGGGTGTGCACAGTGCATGCAGGGCTGTTGCCATCTGCTGGGCGGTCGCTGGGGCAGCGAGGAAGGATGCATCAGATGCAGGAGCAACATATGGCACAGTGGGAGCAGATCTGGGCAGGAGGGCAGCCCTTGGTGAGGTCCTGGGGGTGGTTTTGGGAATGGGATACCCCAGCTGTCCCCAACTTGCCTGGCTGGAGGCACGGCACAGCCTGTCGTAGCAGAAAACTGTTGCTTGTGCTGAAGGTGTAATTTGTTCTCACGTGGAGTAACTGAGTTTAATGCTTCTCGAAGGGCACAGATCACAGTGAGGCAGTTTAAACTTACATTGCTGAGTTTCTCCAGCAGCCCAGAATGTCTGTGAAAGTGATGGGGAGATGCACACAACCCAAACCGTCAGGTGGGGATGGAGAAGCTGCAGCTTCAGTGTGCAGCAGTGAGTCCCCAGTGCATCGACCACTGCTCCTCCTTGCACACACAGGGTGGCTGTACCACCTGCTGCAGACCCACCGTCCCCTCCTGGACCTGGGGGGCACGTGGAGCCCTGGAAAGAGCAAGGAAATGTTTGTGTTGCACAGACCCCATTCGTGCTCAGGGAAAGGGAAATGGATAAATCTGACACGAATGGCTCTGAGGCAGGATGCTGGAATTGAGGCGTACAGTGAGAAATTGCTGCGGTCGGATGAGATCCTGGTGGGAGTGTTTTGCTTTGTGGATGATAAGGAGGAAGGAGTTTGGGAAGCGAGGACCTTGCAGCTTTATCTCCCTCTGCAAGTGCAGCTGTAGGATCGAGTGAGGGGAGCTGGGCTGCAGCACAGATGAGCAGCGTGGGGTCACAAAGCCTTGGTGGGAGCTCAGAAGGTGAAGGTGGTGGTGGTTCCTCATTGTGGTACTGTGGGTGTATCTGAGCCAGGGCTCTGCTGGAAGCTCCCTGGAGTCCTGCAGCACAAACAGCAGGGCCAGGAGGAGAGTGTAGGTTAAACCATCCCCGTGCTGCTGTGCACCTTAAGCAAGAAATCCTTGCTGCTTGTGCGCAGAGCACAGAAGGTCAGTGGTTATCAGGCAAGGAGCTTCCACTTGGCACTGTGCACCAGGAAGGATGTGTCCCAGGGTGAGCACCAGCAACCCAGAGAAAATGGGGAAACATGGGTTGTGAAGGGAATGGAAGGGAACCTGTGTGCTCAGCAGGCACGGCTGAGGGAGAGGGCAAAGGTTCTGCTTCTGTAGAGAGGGCAGGAGGAAACCTTCTGTGCCTCGTGCACTGTGTTGGGGGATGTGAGGTGGGAGGGCCCTCCTGATGTGAGCAGTTTGGGTCAGTTCCTTGGAGCTGGGAGCAGAGCAGGACCTCTGTGTGGGGTGTTGGAGACAGGGGGTCCCGCGCCGTGCGCCCTGCTGGGAACAGCCTGTGCTGGAGGGTGATGTCAGTGCCCATCGTGGAGTCACCGCCTGGTGAGCAAGGCAAGCTTTGTTTGCTTCCCTGTTCGTCACTATAAGGAAAGAGATTGTATTTAACATTTAACTATTCACCAGGAACACCCAGAGAGAGATACGTCCCGGGAGCCTCTCTAGCAAGGCCAATCCTCCTGGGAAATAACCCTCCTAATCAGCAGTAATTTACACAGCAAGCAGCCTGTGCACCTGGAGCAGGGCTGGCCGGAGCACAGCTTGCTTTTATTTTGGTGGCCACACAGCGGGGAGAGAGCTGAGCTCACCCAGTGTTATCAGGGCTGGAGGTCAGCAACAAAAGGCGTTCTGTTCCCGACCTGCTTCCCTCTTCCCTGCCAGAAGGAGCTGGGTCCAGCCGGGCGGGATGTGTCCGCAGGTGAGTGCTGGGCTCTGGCATGAAGGAGGGAGCTGGGGCTGCAGGGCAGGCACATGATGGCTTGGTCTGGACAGGATGGGCGCTGCGGGAGGTGAGTTCTACTCCACAGTGTGTGTTGGCTGGTTTTGCTGATGAGTGTTCTTGTTTTGGTGTGGGTCAGCCCTGTTTACCTGTAGAGCTTGTGTCGGGCTGGCACTGTGGCCAGGTGGGGGGCTTGGCTTTGCCCTGAGCCAGATGAGAACTCTCTGGGTTCTCTGCAAAGTGAGTATTGCCCAGATGAGCAGCAAGAGGCAAACCCCATGGGCAAGCTCTGCTGGTGCACCTCCTGTGCGGGGCTGTTCTGTGGGGAGGGGATCCTGCCTGCTGCCACCGGGTGTTTCAGGGTGGGACTGAGACTGAGGTGGGACAGGGTGTTCAGAGAGGGAAGCACAGCTTGCTTCCCTCTCCCCTCTGCATGGGTAGAAGCCAACTTAAACATGCTTTGTGTTGAGCAGGGAGGTGCCTGTCCCCAGCGCCGGGCCAGGATTGCAGCTTAGGGTCAGTTTGGTGTTCTCCTTCCCCACTGCGCTCAGCTCTGCATGGAGCAGCAATCGCAGCCTGGCTCTTGCAGCCCTGGGATGGATGGGGCAGTGCTGGGTGTCCTTGGTCCCTTCCCACCAGAGCTGCTGTTAATCACAGATAAATCCGTCGGGAAAGCAGCGTTGTTCTTCCCTTTCCTCCTCCCTCCCCCATTTCCCTGTCGCTGTGGCCAAGGCCAGCAGTGCTGGACCAGCCCTGCCAACAGCACTGCTGGGACACAGCTGTCCCACACCCAGGCTCTGGTTGTGCTTTGAGTGAAGATTTCTGCCCCAAAGCAGCAAAGCAAGCGCTCCCTGGAGCCTCTTGTGCCTTTTCCCAATCACTCGGAAGCACAGAAGCACGCTGCGCTGCTCCCGGATTAAAGCTCCACGTGTGCTTTTGTCATACATCCCATACAGCAAGCAAAGGAATTCAGGACTTTAGGAGAAGCTCTTATGTAAGGGCATCATGACGTCTCCAGCCCTCCCAGGTGTGTCGGGGTGGTGATGTGGTTTATGGTGCGTGGCCCATCCCTGCTCAGCCCTTGCAGGTGGCTCTCAGCATCCTGGGCTCCTTTCCCCTTTACAAAGAGGCTTTTTGAATCAGTGTTTCTACAACACTTCTCTACCCAAAAGTGCCATCAAATGCCTGGAATGGGTGCATTGCCATTCTGTTTGTTTTTTTTTTTTGTCTGCTGAGAGCAGAGCAAACTTGGCTGGAAGAGAGAGGTGGCAAGTGGGATTTATAGGGTCAGTGCACAGATCAGCTGTTCTGGGGCCATAAAAGAGCTTTCTGAGAACTGCAGCTGCACCTTTGCCCAGGGCACAGGGGTTTGGTTTGGCTTTGCTTTGCTTTATGGTGCGTTCTGCCAGACCTTGCCTCGGCCTCCCTGCTCGCCTATCTCCCGCTGGCATCTCTGCTGGAGGTTTGGTTCTTTAATCTGTGATGCATTGTGAAGCAAAGTTCTCCACGCTGCTGCTCAGGACGAGAACTTTGTTTCAGGTTTCACCTGCCCCGTAACTCATTGACTACACGGGTTTGATTTTAATAAGGCTTAAGAGAAAAAGGATTAGAAGGGGAGGAACAACTGTTTGGTGTGGGGCACCGTGGTTATGGGAGCAGCCAGGATCTGGGACTGTGTGCATTTCTTGTTCTTTTGGTTGTTTTTTCCAAACAACAGACTTGATTTTGGAGGCCACAAGCAAAGTTATTCACAGCTCAGCACTACATCTTTCCCCCTGCAGGCAGAAAGCAGCACGCCGTGGGGCAGCGGGTGGGCACGCAGGCACCCAGTGCTCCCTGCAGCTGCCAGATCCCATTGCATCCTTCATGGAGCATCACAGAGATTGGCCCAGCATCAGGGGCTGGAGATGGCTTTACTTCCCCAGATCAGCATGCCAACATATCCGTGTCCCCTATGCTGAATCCTGGCCTCTTCTGTTGGTTTTCTGTATCCCTGCTGGGGATGCTGCTCTGCTGGAGCTTGCAGGAACGGCCCTGTCTTCTGTTGGTGGTGACTTTGGACTCAGGTTCTGCACAGGTTGACGTCATGTTTACCTTTAGGGCGTTGTCGGGGGGGCTGTCTGTAATCTGTCTGTGCTGGCACCTCGTGCTGATGCTGTAGGGCTGGGCAGGGCTTGTCCCCGTGCATAGCATGCAGCTGCTGTGTGGGGTTTGTTCCCCTAACGCAGCGCCCACGTGCTCCTTCCAGCTGCCAGCTCTGTGTAATGCAAGGCTTTGAGATACACCATTTTCTTGCAAGTGCTTGCAAACAGCCTCAGAAGCTTCTGTGTGTGCTGCGTGGCTGAGGAAGGGGAGCTTGTTCCAGCATCTGGAATGCTGCTGTGTTGCCCCATGACCTTGCAGGAGGGGCAGCCAGCAGTTCCCATCTGCCTGCATAGACCTCGGGTGGCCCAGTGGCTTTCAACCCCTGTTCCTCCCTTTGCCATCCATGCTGCAGCTTTGGGACACCGGGTGGCAGTGCACAGCTGCAGCTCTACACCAGCATTGCCAGATCCCTCCTTCCCAAAACCCCTGAGACACAAAGAGTTGATTGGTCCTGAAACCACCTGGGGAAATTCCTGAAAAGCCAGGAAATGGGCTCCCTAAGGAGAGCTTCTGCTGCAGTGTGTGTTCCCTCTCATGCTCCTGAACATCTGGGTGCTCCCAAGCATCTGGGTGCAGCACCTCCTGTGTTTGGGGAACTGACCTGCCCCCTAAAACAGCCACAGTGTGTCCTGAAGAGACAGGACAGTAGTCTAGAGGTTTGGCATAGAGTTTTACAGAGGTTTCTGTGAAGGGGTGGAAATTACCCTCATATGGCTGCAGTGGGGAAAAAGTGCTTTCAGGACCGCCTGGTGGCTTGGCATGGTGAGTCCTGGTAGGGAATTCAAATGGTGTCCTCTTAAAAATGGGGTGGGTGAAATAAACAGTGATGGCAGCTGCTGGGTATGGGTAGGAGGCTGCCCTGGGCACAGGTGATGGGCTGGCCTGGGTGATGGGCAGCCCTGGGGATGGGTGATGGGCAGCCTTGGGCACTCTTTGTCCTGCTCCACAATGAAACGACATGGCTGTAGCATCTTACAAGATGTCTTTTGTCCTCTCTTGTGTCCTGCCACAGGCAAATGAGGTGACCGACAGTGCGTACATGGGCTCAGAGAGCACCTACAGCGAGTGTGAAACCTTCACAGATGAGGACACCAGCACTCTGGTGCACCACGAGATGCACGACGAGGTGGAGACCGACAGCGCCATCGACTCCACCGTGCACTCAGAGTTCACAGATGCCATCGAGGAGCAGGAGCAGGGGTCAGTGGGGCAGAATGGGGCAAAGGGGGGCAGGTGAGGAGCGGGGGGAGATGCTGCTGAGGACCAAACTGAGTGGGCTGGCTCTGTCTTGCTGGAACTGGTCGGTGTGCTCTGAGCGTTTGTAACTTCACGCAGGACTGAAATAGCTCTTCTTTAGGAATAATAATGAGGCTGCACTGTGTGTAGGCAGTTTTGGAGCTCGGCCTGGCAATCTCTTTGAGCTAATTGTAGCTTGCCTTGGGAGAACTTCTGTACCCTCATTAGCATCTCTAACTTCTAAAATAAGTTCTCTACACACCTGAAATACCCGCAGTTTTTAATCTATCACTTAAGCCAGCAATGCAACGTGTAATTTTGAAGCCAGGAGGGGAACTCGCCGTATTCTTGTTTCTCCCAAACACGTGTGTGCCCTTTGATGTGCAGCCGCCTCCTGTAACGACGTGCTTCCAGCCTGCGCCCCGAGCACAGCGCTGTGAGCTGATGGCTCCTGCCCTGCTATCTGATGCTGTGCCTGGGCACTGCTAGCTGTGTGGGGAGAGCGGGTTTGGGGGTGTGACTGAGATGCTCTGGGAGGTCATGGAGTCATAGAATGGCTTGTGTTGGAAGGATCATGAAGCTCCAGCCCCCCTGCTGCAGGCAAGGCCACCAACTTCCATATCTAATACTAGACCAGGCTGCCCATGGCCCCATCCAAGCTGGCCTTGAACACCTCCCTGCTAACGGGGAGCTCGCCGCACCCTGATAACAGCACTGAAACCCCCAGAGCTGTCAGCACAGGGGGACTGAAAGCATGGCATCCAGGTGTGGTGCTCTAGGAGGTACTTTGAGCTTTTTGGAAGCACACACACACAGTTTTTTGGAAGAAAACTTGTTCTTTGTGGCTTCCCTCCCACCCCAAAAGCCCGGCATGGGAACACGCAAGCTGCTGGGTGCTGGGGCTGAAAGGGTGCAGGCTTGGTGGAGGTGTGCAGATCAGGGCAATGGGATTAGCTGGCTGCACGCTGCTCTGCTCGGCTCAGCAGCAGTTAAGTCGGGCTGTAAGCAGGTTCTGAGCTCCCTGGCCCCAAGCACAGCTCCCACCCAGGGGCCATGGCAGCCTGCGTGCGCCTTCCCTGCCTCCAGTTCGCTTGCCTGTAAGTATAACCCACTGCGTTTTGGGGTTAGGTTTTGTTGCTGAGGCTTTCCTGCTCCTCCCAGCTTTGGGAAGGCTGGGTGACCCCTGGGTGCTCTGAGCAGTGTATGAGGTGTGGGCAGACTCCAGGTACTCGCAAGTTCAAGGCAAAAGCACATTTGAATGTATTGCCGCTTCTGGGTTAGAGATTGGAAGGCTTGAGGTTGGTGTCACGATGCTGGTGCATCCCAGAGGTGTGGGTGAGCTCCCCTCACCCAGAACTATTGCCCAGAGCAGCCCTGGCTGATGAGATCTGCCCCTGGAAGGTGCTTGACAAACCGCAGCCCCGTGCTGTGGAGCTGGGCTTGGCTCTTGCTTCTTAGTTTAAAATAAATATAAAAATTCCACCCCTGCCTTCTATTCCTGGAGCAGTTTCTGCTGCTTGCTGGGCCTGCTGGGTGCCTCCTTCTGCTCCCCAGTTGAGCAGTGGTGTAGGGTGAAAAATCAGCTTTTGGAATAATCCAGTCTTTCCTCCTTCTTTAGCAATGCATTTTTGGAGGAGGGTGGTCTTACCCCCCTCCAGCACATAGCTGTGCTTTTAGACATCTGGCTTGCTTTCCGCCTTGCTTCTTGCTAATCCCCTCCTGCGTTTTGCCCCAGAGGTTTTAAAATCTCTGCAGTCCTGGGCAGGAAAGGCCTCTGGGAGCAGTTACATGTGGTCACCCCGTGACACCCATCTCTCTGTCCTCACAGATCTCATCCACACGACCTGCCCCTGGGCTCAGACCTCAGCCACTCCATCGTTACGGTCATTAGCGGAGAGGAGCACTTCGAGGATTATGGAGAAGGGAATGAAGCAGATTTGTTCTCGGACAGCTTGTGTAATGGGGAAAGCAGCTTTAGCAGCTCCTCGTTCCTCTCCCCCAGGTAATGCTCAGCACAGCACTGGCTGCATTGGGATGGGTTTTGTTGACATAACTTCTCAACTTGGGCTCTGTGTTTGGGTTTGCACACAACTTGGACTGCGAGAGCAGATCCTGGATACAAGGAGATAAGCAGCACAGAGCCAAGAGCTGCCTCCCTCCATCCTTGCCCTGCACAGTTCCCATCCTCCCACCAGAAGCACCGATGTCCAGCAGCATTGGAGGAGCACTTTGGAGCCCAGAACAGCCCCACGTTCCCTCTGCTGTTGGTGATGTGGCTCCTCTCAGAACTTTCTGGTAGAAAAAAGCAGGCAGCCTCACAGCTTTAGCCCTGATCCTGTTGGATGACAGCTTTCTTTTTTTTTTTTAATCTGCTACACCTACATTTTTGGCTTTGATACAGTGGCTGGATTTGCACCAACAGCTGCAGCCTGAGATCTGTGGGGCAGGAAGGAGGCTGCAGTGTTTCCTTGCTCTCCTTACACTTAGATCTGAAACCAAACAAGTGCTTTCAGCCCATGCAGGGTGTGCTGAGGAGCTGGTAGGATGGTACAAACCAATCCGTACCTGTTTTTCAAGGGAAAAAGTAAAAGCTGCCACTCACTGGTGTCCAAGAGGATGCTTTTTCCCTTTGGGATGGTGTGTGTGTGACTGCACAGTGGCGTAAATCTGTCACAGCTTTTTATTTTCTCCTCTTTGCCTGCATTCTGTCAGCTTCCTAAAGGCCTTGATATGGCTGGGGCAGTTCTGGCTGCAGGGGGCTGAAGGAGAAGGGCTGCTGCCAGCACTTTGCTGCAGGTCAGGGCTAACTTTGCTTTTTCAGCAGCAGTTTTGAAGACGTGAACTAAACCTGCAGTAGAGGTTTTGCTGTAAACCTCTAACCCCTGGTGAGTGTGCCCTGCTGGGGATGGGGCACTTTGTTCACTCACATGTCCTGCGTTGGCACTGTGCAGAGCCACCTGGGTGCAGCTGTCCCTACTGGTGCCACACATGGGAAATGCTCTCAGCTAAAAGCCAGCCTTGGTGTTCTGAGTTCCTCCCCGAGTGTGGGCCTCCAAACTGCTCCAAAAGCCTCCTGGCAACAAAATATTCCAGTCATCTTGCAATCAGCTCAGCTTTTTCTTTAATACCAGTCCTGGGCTCCAGGTTAGCCCCACACGCAGTGCTCAGCTCCTGCTCTGTCAGTGCCTGGCCTTTCCCGTTCTCCCTTTGGATCTCACCCCTGCAGCATCTCTGCTATCCAGGGGGGACTCAGGGGGTGCACAGCCCTGAAGCTCTTTCTGCTTTTAGCTGGGGAGTGCCGGGAAGGCAGACTGCAGACAAAGCCCTGCAGAACCTCGGGGGTAAAGAATGCTGTTTGAAAGAGAGAATTTCCGCATGCCTTTCAGGTCTGGCCCTTACCTGGGATTATTGTTGCGTGCAGGAAGGTCCTTAGCTGGGGTGTCTTTAAGAATGTGCTGTTTTTCTGAACAAAGCCCTGCCTACCACGTGTGTTTGCACACAGTGCAACCTTACAAAGAGCTGCAGGACGCTGCTGGCTCAGACTGAACCCTTCTCTTTTTTTTTGCTGAGGTTCAGCATCACCTGTAAATGGCCACATCCCCATGCATCACCTCCACGTTACAGGAGCATCAGATGGGAATCATGTTGACAAGTTTTCCTGCACACAGGATCAAAGCAGGGGTTGGAAGGGACCTCAAGCCCATGGAGTTCAACCCCCCTACTGAAACAGGTTACCTATTATCAGTAGCACAGCTAGGTGTCCAGATCACTCTTGAATATCTCCATAAGAAGACCTTCACAGGAAGGCTAACACAGGAACCAAGAGCCTGCAGGGAGCACTGCAGGGTGCTGAATTTTCCTGCTTAGTCCTTAAGTGTGTGGTTATAGGTTACCACCTTGGGCTCAGCCATCCAGACAGCAAAGCTCTCTACAACACCCAGCGAGGAATGGATGGCAGTGGGAAGCCCAAGCCCCTCGTGCACCAGCAAGCTGGCTGTAGGTGCTGGGTGAGAGCAGCGCTGCTCCCCTGGGATGGAGGAAGGAGGCAGCAGGGCTGAGGGGTGGCAACGTGCCACCAGTGCTGGGTGGGGATGCCCTGAGGTGCGCTGTGGTTGAGCTCTCACCCACTCACCTGGCAGGGAACCAAAGCAGCCAGAGGCCAGGTATATCTTCACGCAGTGAATACCTCTGGATTCTCTTAGGGCTTCTTGTCTAATGGCTTTCCCCGCCTTGATTAATGCTCGTTAAGAAGTGGGCGAAGTGAGGACGCGCCGAGCAGAGCTCATGTGTGGCTGAGCAATGGGGAGCATCCCAAAACGGGGCACGTCGCTCCTCCTGGGTACCACAAAGCTGCAGCCAGCTTCAACCCCGTGCAAAGCCTGAGCAGCTGAAAGGACTGCTGGTGGATGGAGGTTTTTTTCCTGAGATCAAGCCTGCCATGGAGCATAGGGATGTTTTTCCATGTTTCTGCAGGAGTGGAGCGAGGCAGCGTGTCCTGTGTCTGGTCACCTGCTCTATGGGACATCAGGAGCACTGTAGGGGTGGCACAGGCTCTGAGGCCTGGCCCAGGGGTGGCTGGGTGCTGCACCGTGCTGCTGCCTGGAGAGATCCCAAATCCTCCTGGGGTTCCTCAGCATCTCCTGGGGCAGGGCTTTCCAGCGTGGATCTGTGTCACGGGGCCCTTTCCAGACATCTGTTGTTTTTAAGCTTGCTCGTGTTTGCTCACACCTTTACCTGTCTTACTTATTGAACTGCTTTGTTTTTTTCACTATTAACCTTTCTTTGATTCGAGTCTGTGGCTTCCAGAAGCATGTTTTCCTGCAGAAGATGGCGTGCATAAGGCCCCTAAGTGACACCAACCCCATGCTGCTCAGAATCCTGTGGCCAAACTCCATTTTGCCCAAGCTGTGCCAGGTGGGAGAACGGCTCCCTGCTTTGCCAGAGGTCAGTGGATGCCTCAACAGCTTGAGCAGCTGAAAGCAAAAAGCTGATCAGACCCATTAGCTCCAAAGGCAATTAGTTTGTACACCTTTACATCTCTTTGCCAGATGATGAGGCGAAGCTGCTGCCTGTGCACTTCACTGTGTAGGAGGCAGCTCCTGAACCACTGGTGGTTGGTTCACCACCGGTGTTTTATGAGCATATCTTCAAAGGGAGAAGTTCTTAGAGGTGAAAATATGACCCTGGTCTGCACTGCTAACAGTGGAGCAGCACAGCTGCTTTATTTCTAGATTGTCCCACTCGAAAACGGGGCAACCAACCAAAGGATTTGGCTCTTGGACTCAGGGCCGTGCATGAGCTCAGTTTGCAAATCCCAGTGCAAACCAATATTGCACACAGGGAAGCAACCCAGCCTGCTCTCAAACTCAAACAGCCAATCCTACATCTTGTGCCAAAACCTCCCCTGCCTGGAGATGCAGCCCTTCCAAACAACTCAGCTTGTGGAAGCCACAGAGGAAATCAGATTGCTCTGTTCTGTCCTGTTAAAATGACACTTGTGATTTCTCTAGCACCAATCCGCTCGCTGCGAAACTGCACAGCATTATCGCAGATGAAGCATTTGAGTTTTACTGTAGCCAGTGCCACAAACAAATCAACCGCCTTGAGGATCTTTCCGCTCGCCTGAATGATCTTGAAATGAATAGGTAATTGGTCTTGTGCGTGGCAATTTCAGTGTTGGGAATGATGCTCTTGAAGGGAAGACTCTCCTTGTCTTGGAAAGCTTTCCTCTGCTGCTGTCGGGCTCGATTCCTGCTTGCAAAAAGGGATGGATTTCAGTGAGGGTGGTGGAGCTTGCAAAAAAAAAAAAAAGTCTGCAAAAGCATCGCAGCAGATGGGCCTTAAATCTGAGCCCTGGGAGCTAACAGGCAATGGGAATCTTCCACGCTGCTCTGCTCGGCCTCGTGCACGTCCCATACAGCACCCAGCACGCACTGAGCAGTGCTGTCCTTATGTGGGAACCTGCAGCCCCAGGCTGATGGGCTGTGGTGTTTCTGCCACCCTGGGAGTGGTGGTCACAGCCATCCTGCCATGGCAGCGGCCCCCCCAGCACAGCTCTCTGACCTGGGGATCTCCTGGGAGACACTGACTCTGCACCCATAGAAACGGCTTGCACCCACTTGTTTCACTTGCACCCAGCACTGCCAGATATAGGTGAATAGGTAGGATGAATGTCAGGGCCTTGGTGAATGTAGCTTTTGGGGTCCACCAGCTGATTTAGCAAGTGTGGGAGATAGCTGCTTTGATTTCCTTGTTTGGATGTGGTTGCAGTCCGCTGGGGGAAAGGAGGGATGGCGGTGCTGATGGAGATAATGGCTCTGCTCACACCCAGTGTGTTCTTTCAAGCCCAAGGCTGTGCTCATGGTCTGTCCATCCTGCAGGGACAGCTCTCCTGGGCCATAGCTTGGGTGAGAGCTGGAGGACAAATGGGAGCTTGGCCTTTCTTAGCAGTACAAGTGCTTCTGTCCCTTCTCTTTCTCAAGCACGTGGCTGCCTTTGCTGCTGGGAGCCTCTGTGTGGCAGCCCTGGGGGTGGTGATGGGGCTGAGGTTGTGCAGTCAGTGAGGAGAGTGCTGGGTTTCCCCGCACGCACCAGCAGCCCCGCTCCAATTTGGGTTTCACCCCTGCAAAGCTGAAATGCCACTTGTGTGATGGGGTCCTGTGGTGCCTCTGAAGGAATTGAAGAGGCTTTGTTCAGCTCTGTGCTTTCATGGCACAAATGTCTGGCTCCCTTGGGGGGGGAGGGTTGCCCCGCATGGATCTGCTGCTGTTGCTGGAGTGCAGCATCAGGTGTAGCAGGGGGAGGGGGTTGGATGTAAGTGGGTGTGAAGTCGTGCAAATATGACCTACAAGAAGGGCTGGAAGTCACAGAGGGAGTTGGTGCTGTGATATGTGTGCCCCAAAGCCGTAAGAGACGCTGCTCAGCAGGGCTGGCAGAGCTGTGAATGGGGCAGTTTGGAGAGCTGTGCTTTGTTTTAGTGCCCTTGAAGTGGAGTTTGCACATCTCGTCCTCTCCTAGGAGAGCCGCAGGTGCTGGCTCTGCTTTCCATGCAGAGGAAAATATTCCTCCTCTCCCCAGCATGGGCTGTACATGGGCTGGCACCCTGCAGCTGTCGGCACACACGGGATGACCCCTTCTCTGCCAGCTCCTCCTGCTCCATCCTAATGGGGCTCAGAGGATGCACCTCTGACACAGCCACAGGTAGCCCTGACAGCAGGCTGCCATCGATCCTTGTTTCCCAGGAGCTGTATTTTTTATGTGTCTTTGACAGAAAATCACCCAGCCTTATTTTTAATTCCTCCTTCGAAGAACTCATGTCACTGCTGCAGCTCCAGGCAGAACTGAGCTCCCAGCTGACTTTTATTGTTGTTCTTTGAGCTGAGCTAAGCACTGGGGAATGCAGCCCAGCTGAGCTGTTGGCTGTCACCCATGCAGTGCTGAGTTGCCACCAGCATTGTGTCCTGATGGCACCAATTGGACGGCAGCATTGGTTTGGGTGCACGTGTGAGCCCTGCTCCTTTTGCCAACTTGCAGCTGCAGCCAAGGGAACATCTGGCCAGGAGTTGGTGCTGGAAGAGGCAGCAGGGATGTGGCTGCTTGTGCTGTCATGGTGCTCCGTTGCACCACAGATGGGGGGGTTGTGCACAGCACCATGCACAGCACCAGCAAGCCATCGGTGAGCCGAGCAAGGAGGGCATGTCCCCGTCCTTGGTGTCATAGGGCCTGTGCTTAAAATCCATGATCAACAGCTCCTGCAGTCCTGGTAGCAGTTCTTTGGTGATCCAGAGCCAAATACAGCTCAGCAAGAGTAATAGCAAGCAGTGCAAAGCACACAAATGGATGGAGATGTGGGGCTGTGTGGCACAGCCGGGCAGGGACCCGGAGGGACACGGGGTGCTGGAGCTCTGCAGTGCTGGCAGAGCCCCACTGAGCTCACTGCTATTCTTAGCCCCTTCCTTGGGGATCAGCTTTCAGGGCTGGGACAGGCCGTGTTTGATCGGGTTCGTTATCCCAGCAGTGCTAATTGTGAGGGTCGTGGGGCTGCGTGGCCGTGCATGTTGCAGGGGCGAAGGACGTGCCCCGAGTGCCTGCAGTTTCCTGTTTCCCTCGCCGTCCACTGTCAGCTCTCCTAACTCTTTCCTGTTATTTGTTGCTTTTGCAGTCCGAATAAAAGACTCTCCAGCAAGAAGGTGGCAAGGTAAGCTTGTGCTTGGGTTACTGCTGCCGTGGGAAGGGTGCCCACGCTGGCTGTCGGCATGAGTTTACAATGTCTTCTTTTCTTGGGGAAAAATGGGTCTCATTCCGATCTGTTTTCCATTAGCCCTTCTTCTGATCTGGAGATTGCTCCCTTGTGCCAGCAGCTGGAGGTGGCTGCCAGCCCGATTTCTCCCAGGACAGAAGCAGGGGAGGCCTTTCCCTGTTGCTCAGGGCAGCCCTTGGGTCTTGGCCTCATGGGTGCAGCTGGGATGGGTCAGGTCAGGGGGAGCTCTGGGGTCAGCTGCAGGTAACCTTTCTGTTATTCTGCTTTTTCTGCCCTGTGGCACTGTCCTAAGGCTTGCTGGTGTGCCAGCTGCCCTTGCCTGGTGGGTGTTTTTATCCCAGATTACACAGGAAAGGCAGCACTTTGCTCTGGGGTCTGTCCTGTCTCCATGCACCCCTCTCCCCATCCTGCCGTGTCCTGCTTTTATTCACAACCTATCTCTTCTCTGTTCTGCCCTGCTTGGGAAAACGCTGCCCTCCGAGGTCTCTGCCTTCCCCTTCACCCCTTTCCAAGCAGGGGCTGGGCACTCAGAGGAAGGGGCAGCTTGTTAGGATGGGGCCCAAAGTCACCACTCTCCCTCTGGAAGCACAGATCTCACCATCCCCGTGCTCCAGTGCACAGTGTGCAGCACTCTGAGCATTCAGGAGCTGCCCTAAACCTCATCATCTTGCCCTGCCCTTCCCAATTTTTCCTGTGCTCAGCAAGTCTGTCCTCCTGGAAAGGAAGCGAGGCTTTGATATTGAATTTCCTCCTTCCACTCATCTCACTTTGGAGACCTTTGTTAAAAACACGGGCAGGAAAGGAGGCAGAAGGGAGCAGGCTGTCCCATGCTTCCTGTGTCAGGTTCACCTTCTGTCCCCTGCCTGGCAGAGCAGAGGGCAGGATTGGAATTAACCCCATGGGGGCAGAGGTGCCTCCTCCCCAGGGAACAGCCCTGCATGTTAACCACAGAGAAGAGCCAGCTCCTTCAGATCAGCCAAAAGAGCACTTTTTGTTGCAGGTCCTGTAATTATAATGTGATATTTGCTTTTGGGAAGTGAGTTTTATTTTGGTCAGGGTTCTTTCCTTGACTTTTGTTACCCATGTTCTGCTTGTGCCAAGAAATCTCTGCTGCTCGGGCCCTGTTGTGCTTGGCATGATTTAAATGACAAATGTGCCCAAGACTTCAGAATCTAAATATGTGCTCAGGGCGAGGAGGCAAAACAAGCCTGGTACTCAGCTGTGGTCTCTTCAGCAAATGCCAGCCACGCTTCATGAATATTTGCATGAGCATATTGTGTAGCAGGGTGAATTTCAGAGCCTAGATGACATAATCACTGGATAATTTAGGTTTGAAGAGACGACCTCTTGCTCTCCTCCTCCTTTGCTGGTTTCAAAGCCTGGTCAGCCTGCCTGCTGCACAGTGAGGCTGCTTGGGTCACAGAGGGGCAGCAGAGATCCACGGGATGGGGATGGTAGGGCTGGGAAACACCCACTGCCCTTTTTGGGGAAGGAAGGGGACTGCCCAAACCATGGGCACACGTCACTTAACCTGAGCTGACCCTGCTGCTGGCAGACCCTGTGTGTGCTGCTCCACGCAGGAGGAGCCAGCCATGGTGTGAGCCCTGCGGGTGCCACGCTGCAGGCTCTGACCCCACATTGCACTGGGAACAGCAGTGCTTTGCTCCAGGCAGCATCCTGGGTCTGCAGGGCTGTGCTGTGACAACCAATAGTGCTGCTTGTGCCATGCAGCAGTGGAGCTAATTGCAGCGGTGGCACAATTAGCACCAGTCAGAGCTGGGCAGTGCCCTTAGATGGATGCAGAGCTGTGGCCAGCGATGTCGCAAGGCCTGGCTAATGATTAGCTGCTCTCAGCTGTAGCACAGCTAAGATAGGTGTTTCCCAACAAGCTCAGGGTTCTATTTCTCTTCCCATCCACTGCCCCCAGTAGTTAACTTTATCGGTGGCAAGAGCAGAGTACTCTGTCCTTTGGTGGATGACACATGTTCTTAAAGAGAGAAAGTGTGGAGCAGGGGCTCTTATCTCCTATTCCAAAGAGCGAGAGCAGATGATGGCAGTGTGAAGTCCCTGCAGCATGTGTCCACGTCTGCACTCCGCTGCTGGGGCTCTGGTAAGAGACTGCCTGATGAGGAGCAGTGCTCTGCCAGCACCAGGGAAGGAAGTGGCAGCTGGGAAGGAGGGAAAGGGACCGTATGGTGTGGGTGTCGTCAGCTGAAGTCTCCCTGTCTGGCTATGCTGGCCCTGATGGTCGCCCTGCTGTGGGTGGGGATGGCTTTGCTGTGTTACAGACAGCTGCACCAGACCAGCACACTGTCTGGAGGAGCAATGGAGGAGTCCTACAGGGACACGTTGGAGTGCACAGAAGAGGACATCACAGACAAGGTAGGAGCAGGGCTGTGTGTACCACAGTGGCACTCAGTGGTGGCACGCAGGGCTTTGGGATGGCTGGGCTGAAGCTCCTCTTGCTGCATTGCCTCTAATCCTGCATTGAATGAAGGAGACATAACCTGAGAGCCTTCTGTCCCCATGCAAAGAAGCCTGGCCCTGGTGACAGCATCTTCCTCTGGTGGCTTTGTGCTGGTCCTCATGGGATGGTAGGGCAAGGAGGACCAGAAGGCTGTTGTTGGAACACCTCTGGTTAAGAATAGCGAGGGGAAGGATGGAAAGTGAAAGATGAGTGAACTCTGCCTTGCGTAAATGTTTGCTGCAGTGATGAAACTTTCAAAATGGCTTTTTTTAGTTCTGCAGTCAGGAGCTGAAAGCTGTGTGGAGCAGCATGGGAAAGGGAAACGTGCATGTGGCTGTTTGCAGTTTCATTTGCCTGCTTCACCAGCGCAGCAGCACAGTGGTTCAGGCTCTGTTGACGTGCTGCTGGCTGCTTTGTTTGTGCATGGGTGTGAATGAGACTCAGCCGGGGTCCTTTGCTCTGGGCATTGCTGTAGCATCTTGTTATGAAGCAGGGAAGCAGGGAGGCGTTTGGCCCCATGTTTCTACTTGGGACACGTGGGAAACCAAGGTAGAATCTGAGCAAAAGCCTGGCTGCGGTGGCAGCTGTCCCCTTTTGGGTGGCTCCTGCTTTGAGGGGGGGTTGGGAGTGATGCACTGCCTGTTGCCGGGGGTCTGTGCTGAGCTGTGCCTCTCCCCCACCCAGGTGGTCTTTCTGGAGAAGCGGGTGACGGAGCTGGAGAAGGACACAGCTGCCAATGGTGAGCAGCACAGCCGCCTCAAACAGGAGAACCTGCAGCTCGTGCACAGGTAAAGGAGCTGGCCAGGCTCTCCTTGGGATCGTAGGGTTCCAGGGGTGCTTTTCAGGGTCGTGGGCACATCCCCAGGATTTGCTCCCTGCAAAGATTCTGCTCAGATGCACGCAAATCCGGAGCTCTGTGGGTCTTTCCTCGTGTGCCCACCTCTCTGTGCAGCCCCAGGGGTTGGATCAGGGGGGCTGCAGGTTGGTGTTTCCTGGAAAGCTGTTCAGGGAGAGGGGCTTTGCTCAGATGGATGTGCAGCAGGGTCTGTGCCTGCTCTGCCCCATCGCAGCCCCACTGATTTCAGCCCCCGCTGCAGCACAGCCCTGTGGATCCCACGGTAACTGATGGCTGCCCTCCCTGAGCTGGCAGGCTCCTCTCTTCCAGCAGCATATTTACACCCGCAGATAAACCCTCCAGGATTTATCTATAGGGCTGTAAGGCTGTTAAGTAACAGCTGTGTCATGGAACCAAGCAATTCAGACAAAGGTTTCTCTAAGCCCTGATAAACTCTGCAGCAGAGGGGAATGTTTTCACTTTAGCAGCTTGGCCCAGAAGTGTCAGCCAGCTTTTAATCAAGCCTTGTACTTGCTGCTGGTTGAAGAATAGCTTTATCTGGCAAAAGCCTGTCTGAGCAAAGTGGCTGCTTGAGGGACAGCCCACAGGCTCCCAGCAAAGCACATCCTGAGCAGCTTCCCCAGAGCAGGGCTCTGATTGAGGTGGCACAGCTCAGGCAGTGCCAGCACTGAGACCCACAGGTGTGCCATAAAGTGATTGCTGTGCTCTCACCCTCTTCCCCTCTCACTGGTTTTCTCCTTGAAAGGGGTTTGGATGCACCGTGGAGAGGTAGAAAAATGGGCAGGGATACCACACAGCTTATTTTATTTGGGGATTTTGTGGGCTGTCTTGCTTTCTTGCTGCATCCGATGGAAGAAGTGAAGCTCTCTGACATCTCTCTCCTCTCCACAGAGCGAATGCTCTGGAGGAACAGCTGAAGGAGCAGGAGCTGAGGGCTGACCAAACACTCCTGGAGGAGATCAAGAAGCAGAGGGAGATGCTGAGCAAAATGGAGAGGGAGAAGAGCATCGAGATCGAGAACCTGCAGGCCAGGTGGGGCCAGGCAGGTCGAGTGGTGGCAGGGTTCCTGGGCACGTGGGCAGGATTACCTCAAATCAGTACAGGCCCTGAGGTTTGGCTGCTTCCCCTTCCTTCCCTTCATCCCAAAATCAGACCCCTCCACCAGCATGGCCTCAGACTGTTTGGATTTCCCCGATAAGGTTTCAGTTTAGCTCCTGCTCCCCATCCACAGCTCTGCCCTGCAGCGTGTGAGTGCAGGTGGTGGTTGTTAGCACTTGTTTGCATGAAAGATTCGTGGAAGTCCGTTTGATGCTCAGATGTGACTCAGCTCTTGGAAGCAGGCAGGTGTCTGATCCTGCTCCCAAAAGCTGCCGTGGCTGTTGAGCAGATGCAGGCTGGGAGGGAAGGCGAGGGCTCAGCCCACAAAGCAGGAGGGTTGGCAGGGGTGTGCCGTGGCTGCAGGCTGCTCAGAGGCACAGAGGGGGTACTGAGGCAGAGTTCGACCCCATCTCGAGAAGGAAGAGCTGTCAGACTGGTGCTGGCTGGGCAGGGAGCTCTGTGCAGCCTCTCAGCTTCCCAAGGAAAGAGTAGCATGGGAGGTGGCCTCATTTATTGGACAGGTTTGTTATTCAGGGGGATGTTTTTACCACCTTTCCAGAATGCATGTTGCTCTCGTCCAGCCCTTGCAGTAAATGAAGCCCAGATGCACTTCATTTGGTTGGTTGGTTGATTTTTTTCAATCGTGTGTGTGGTGGGACAGTTAGCTCAGCAGATAGCTGTTGCTTTACCTGGAGGACTCAGAGGTGAAGCTCTGCTTCCTGCTGTCTGATGCTGAGGATTGCCCATGAGCACAAAATGAGCATTCAGTTGAAAAAAATAACATCTGATCTGGTTGTGGAGGGCATGGGCCTGGAGAAAGGACCTGCCCAAGTTGTGCAGGTTTCCCTTTTTTCCCTTGGGAATGGGGATGGTACAAGTCTCAGGGTTTGGCGTGAAAAGGTAAATCACTGCTGGCTTTCCTCCAGCAGGTCCTGGTTCAGTACTGCTGGTGATGCTTCAGCCCAGTCTGCTGCACTTTCTGACAAGTCTCCTTATTGTTGCAGGCTGCAGCAGCTGGATGATGAGAACAGCGAGCTGAGGTCTTGTGTCCCTTGTTTAAGAGCCAACATCGAGAGGCTTGAGGAGGTGAGAATGCATGTATGTGTGTGCCAGAGCTTCTGCCCTCCCCACAGCTCAGGGCGGGCCCAGCAGCACTGACACCACAGCCTGACCTCGGGGCAGTGCTTTGCAAGCAGGTTCACAGTGCCTGGCTGCAAACCTGGTGTTAGAAATGCAATGAGCCTGAGCTGGCAGCCAGCAGCTGGAGCAGCGGGTGGCCTGGCTGCAGGAAGGGACTCGTGCCCTCTGCTGGAGGCAAGTCCACAGCCCTGCGGCTGCAGCAGGAAGGGTTGAGGTCTGCTTGGTGCCCAGGCACACAGCTGTCACTGAGATCCACGTGTTGAGTCTTCAGAATGCTGTGTTCTCTCACAGACCCTCTCCCCGTGCCGGGGTTGGGAGGCTGCAGCCTGGCAGGGCCGGATGGGAGCATTGCCAGTGATGAACTTGCAGGTCTCACTTCTGGCACAGAGGTTGCACTGTGGCTCTGTTGGAGCTTGTGGAGGATGTAAGATTAAAACTGATGTGAAACCAAAGCTCTGCCCAGCTGGAGGCCCTCCAGCATTGCACCCATTCGCAGCCTCTGAGCCCACAGAGCAGTGCCCGCTGTGGCCAAGGCAGCATCGTCTTCATGCCCTGTGGCCTTGTAAGCACTGGATGGAGAGAACTGCTGTGTCCTGGTGGCATTTGGGGCTTTTGGAAAGCCAAAGGCTTCCTCGCAGGCAGAGCCAAGCCAGGAGCCTGGGCACGGGGTGGGTTGGTCATAGGAAAACAGGGAAATGCCTGGCGTGGGGCTGTTGGCACCAGCAGGTGACAAACTTCACCCAGCACCTCCAAGCTGGGTGGCAGTGAGCCCTGTGACCACTGCACTGCGTGTGCTTGCAGGAGAAGCAGAAGCTGCTGGACGAGATTGAGGACCTCACTGTGCAGCTCACAGAGGAGCAGGAGAACAAGAGGAAGATGGGGGACAAGCTGAGCCACGAGAGGCACCAGTTTCAGAAGGAAAAGGAGTCGACACAGGAGGTGAGGAGTTTGGCTGCCCACTGCAGCCCTGCCTTGCCAAAACTTGGCAGCTTTGCATCTCTAGTTTCAACAGCATCTTTAAAGCCAATTTTAAGAGCCTTTGGTCGTGTCTGGGTGGAGAAAGGTAGTACAGCAGCTTAGCTGTGTAACATCTGTCACTTTTGCCTGTGTTAAAATTCAACCAAGCGCATCTGCCTGCACCTGGAAACCCATTAGGGCTGTGCCACCCTTGCCAGTTGCTTTCTCGCATCAAAGGAGCTGTGGCAGCAGCACGTGGAACCAGCAGGTGCTTGCAAAGAGAGCAGGTTGGGGGAGAGCTCTCAGCTGTCTTCATGTCTGGGGGCCAAAAACATGGGACCCCTGCCACCTCTTCCAAGTAATTCCATCTGGAGGCTCAAGCAGTGCCTGCCATCATGGCAGGAATGGAGTTTGGGGTCTCAGAGTGGAAATTGCTGTTGTTTTGGCATAATGTGGGGATTCACAGCATGTCCCATTGCAGCAGGAGGGAGCTGGTCCCAGCCAGGAGGCCACCCGTGTGTCCCACGGGCTGCAACCAGTGCCAGCACTCAGCTGTCCTCTTCCTTTTGCTGCAGCTCATTGAGGACCTCAGGAAGCAGCTCGAGCACTTGCAGCTTTTCAAACTGGAATGTGAGCAACGGCGAGGCCGGAGCAGCAGCATGGGGCTGCAGGAGTACAACAGCAGGACACGAGAGACAGAGCTGGAGCAGGAGATCAAGCAGCTTAAGCAGGTAGGTGAGGCTGGGAAGGGAGAGGAAACATTCTGCAATAAGGGATGCTGTTTCCCCTTTTGCCTGGCTCCTCGGTTGGTGGGGTTCTCCCTCCCAGGAGCTGCTCATGCATGGAGCATCCTGCTGCTTCTTGCTCCCCTGTGCAGGGGCAGGAGAGCTCGGATTCTTCCTCTGAAGGGCGTTGTGTGTATGTAGGACCCATGCATGCTGTGTCCCCTAGACTTGTCTCACATTTCCAGAGGCTCTCCAGTCACAGTCAGGAGAACGTGTGCTGTTCCCAGTGCCCTGCAAAGCTCCTGCCTTTCCCAGCTGTGCAGTGGGGTTGGATGGATGTGTTTGGGGGCACCAGGCAGCACCTGATGTGTGGTTGTTGTGAACAGGATAACAGGAGCCTGAAGGAGCAGAACGATGAGCTGAACGGGCAGATCATCAACCTGAGCATCCAGGGAGCCAAGAACCTCTTCTCAGCCTCCTTCTCTGAATCCCTGGCGGCAGAGATCAGCTCAGTCTCCAGAGATGAGGTACGTGCACAGGGAGCTGCTTCTTTCTGACCGTGTCTCCCTGGGGTGCCTGGGGCTTTCCCTTCCCACCCAGCAAACAGGAGCCCATGTGGCCATGGCTGCAGTACAGTTCTCTCCAAAACCCCACCCGGGAGCTGTCATGAGACAACACAGTGATTTAAAGAGCATTTGGGACTGGGACAGGAGAGGTTTAGGTTGGACATTAGGAGGAAGTTTTCCACCCAGAGGGTGGTGAGGCACTGGAACAGGTTGCCCAAGGAAGCTGTGGATGCCCCATCCCTGCAGGCATTCAAGGCCAGGCTGGATGTGGCTCTGGGCAGCCTGGGCTGCTGGTTGGCGACCTGCACACAGCAGGGGGTTGGAGCTGGATGAGCACTGTGCTCCTTTGCAACCCAGGCCATTGTAGGATTCTGTGATGATTCTATGACTTGCCTTAATTCATGGGAATAGGGGATTCTGCTGCCTTCCAATTTGTGGCACTGCTTTGCCTTCGCTTCCTGGGCTGGATCAGCAAACACAAGTGTGTGCGTGTGTGTCTGCAGCTGCTTTAACAGCCCAGCAGCTGGGACAGCTGCCCTGGAGACCTCTAGTCCAGGGTTAGGGTTGAGCAGGGCTGCTGGCTGAGGGCATCTCCTCCCCGTGGAGTCATGGAACGATGCCCTCCTCCCATCCCCAGGCAGCAGCGACCACTTCTCCCTTCTCTCCCTCGCAGCTCATGGAAGCAATTCAAAAGCAAGAGGAGATCAACTTCCGCCTGCAGGACTACATCGACAGGATCATCGTGGCCATCATGGAGACCAACCCCTCCATCCTGGAGGTGAAGTAAGGGCGGCTGAGAGCCGCGCGCTGCGCACTCTGCCATGGCTGTGGATTTGGTGCTCTGAGAGGAGGAAGAGGGACTCGCAACAGTCTTTGCTCTTGATGAAGGCCCAAGGAAACGTGGCGTCGGATCGGTGGGGAATCAGGCGGCGCAGCAGCGGGGCAGAGAGCCAGCAGTGAGGCTCTGTTGTCTGACTCCGTTCTTTTGCAACCCTACCCGGCTTCGAGGGGCGAAAGGGAACCTGGAGGAGAAATAGAGGCAACGGGGCAACCGTGGGAAGGATTTGGGACGGCCCCGCACGGGTGTGAGGAGGGCTTCCTCTGAACTGCAGGGGTCGGGATGGAGCTGGAACGTTTCCCCCCCCTCCCCAGCTGCCCTACCCAGCCTGGGTGTCTGCTTTGCCAAAGTGTCCGTGACACACTCACTCACCGGGGCAGATGTGGGAAAGAGGGAAACACGTCCTGGACTTGTAGAATTATGGTGATGATTATTATTTTTTAATTAACTTAATGCAAATGTCTTCATCCGGCTGGCGCGGTTAATCCTTGCCCTGCTGCTTTTGCTTGGGAACGGGTCGCGTGCACGGAGCGCGCTGGCTTCTCACTTGCTGGTGGCACGGAGAGGGGAGCAGCCATCCTTGGGACAGGGTGTGAGTGCATTGTCACCCACCTCCTTATTTATTTTGCTGTCTGTGGCTCGCTGCCCTCTGCTCCCATGGCTCCAGGGTGGGATGTTGCTGCAGGGTCTGCGCAGCTCATGGCAGAGCCGTCCCCTCCATCCTGCTTGCAGGGATTGGGGCGGAGGTGGTGGTGTGAGGGCTGAGCTCTGTGTGCTGCCCCAGCATCCCAGCACGGAACGGGGCTCTGCTGGTGATGGCTGTGATCCCGGAGGGAGAACCCGCTCCTCACCCTGTGCTGGGGATAGGGATGGGGTGGCTGCTCTGAGCTCTTAGCACACCCAGCATCGCCCATCCCTGTGCTGCCAGGGGCAGGAGGTCTCTGAACTCAGTGCCAGCTGGCTGGGAAGCACAGACCACGCTCACGGCGGGCAGCTCGTGGTCCATCCAGCAGCGAGGTGCATCCGTGGGAGCAGCCACTCATCCCACTGCCCCAGGATCTCTCGCTGCACCAGGCCCATGGAGCAGCTGTTTCTCCTGCTAGCCAAGCTTCGGAAACATCAATGCAGCCCAAAAAACAGGGGAGCAGCAGCGACCCCCGAAATGCTTCCGAGCGCATCGCTGTGTCGTGGGTCAGCCAGGGGCTGTCCCTGCAGCTGAGCCCGGAGCCGCCGCCGTGTCCCCACAGCACGGCCATCTGACACAGCCCTGCACCCAGCCTGGGGATGGAGCCACGTCGTGTACATTTCCAGAGAAGCTTTGGGTGTAAATCAGTGTATACATGGAGAGGGAAATTTTTCTATCTTGTAGAGTAGGTATTTTTATAGAACGAAGGTTGATCATTTTTTTAATACTTTAAAAGAAGAGAGAAATGTATCTGTGTATAACACAAAAGCATATATATATATATATATGTATAAATATATAAATATTGGAGATCTGCCTTTCTCGACTTGGGGTCACCGATCCCCAGTTCCTACAATCGTCTTTTTTTCCTGTCGCTCACAAAGAGGTACTGTAACTGTAAATAAGCACCAGGAAAAGGTTTTAAGCAAACAAAGCACTGACTTGCACATTCACCATGCTTTAAAGCCCCTATGGAAAAAACAAAAACAAAAACAAAACCACACCGACCTGTCCTTCCTGAAAACCTTCCTCTCTCCACACCGGTATGTGAAGGAAGTCCCAAAAGGGTGAAAGCAGTATTGTCTTAAATGATGTATTGATTCTCGTCCCATTAAATGCTGTTACCATTCCTGTCCTCGGCTCTTCCTTGCTGTGACTTTGTGGGGTCTGTGGGGTGGGATCAGGGGGAGCACAAGGCACTGGGGATGGGCATAGGGACTTCCAGAGCCAGTTCTTGTCCCTGTGTCCTGCCTGCTGCCCTATGGGGATGTAAGTGAGGACATGGAGCTTCCCTCGCCTGCAGCCTGCTGGGTGCCGTGTGAGCTCCTCCAACCACTCTACTGACTTAGAAATCCCACTCTTGGGCCGGGAAATGCCCTAAAACCCTCTTGCTGAGCTGTGCGCATCTCTGTGCCTCCTCTGAGCCTCTGCAAGCTGCCCCAAAGGGCTCCGAAATCCCCTCTGCGTTGCTGCAAACCGCTCCATCCTGCTCCCAGCTGCTGCTCCAGAACCTCCCCGAGCATCCCTAAAGGGCCCCAACAGCTCTGCAGGGTGCCAGGATTATTTTCTCTTCTAAAAAAAATCAGCTTTAAAATCAGCTCGGCACTTTGGGGAGCCCCAAAAAGCCCCGAGTGATTCCAACCCTGCAGATCCACTGAGCACCTGGGCTGCCCCAGGAACCTCCCCCCGTGTGGCCCCAAAAGGCAACAGCGCTCCAAGCAGCTCTCAAGCTCCTCCAAACTCTTCTGAAACTCCTTGAAGTAGCTGAAAACGCACCGAAAGAAATATCCTGCAGCAGCTCGAAAGCACTCCAAGCCTTCCTCTGAAGGGCCCTGCGAGGTCTCAAGTGCTCCCAAGCCCTCTGTGAGGCCCCAGAAATGCCTCCAGACCCTTCTGGGACCCCTCCTGCCAGGGATGCTGAATGCTATGGACCTTCTCCAGCGGCGCTGCAGAGATCTCTGCATTCCAGTGCTCCCCTTGGGGTGGCTGTGGGGCCGAATCAGCAGCCCCCGGTGTTGGGTCCCAGCCCACCTCCGTGCCATTGGAGAGCTCCAAATGTAATTCCTAAAGATGAACACGTTTACCCATCACAGATTTATGGTTTTGCAGAACAGTCGTGGCTCCAAAACTCACTGAGGGCTGCAGGAATTGTCTTGGAGCTCTCTGCTCCCTGCTCAGTGTGGCAGAGTTGGATTGGTTGGCTCGTCCCCGTGGGTGCTCCTGGATGCAGGACAAGGATGCTCTGGGAAAAGGACAAGGACAAAGATGCTCCAGGATGCAGCACCATGGAAACCCAAACGCCCAGCAAACCCCAGCCCTAAATGCACAGCCTGAAATTCACACTTTTCTCCTCTTTTCCAAGCAGGAAATCACTGCGAGTACAGAAAGTCCTCACATCCCCCCCCCCTTCCCGCAGCCAACAGAGCTGGGTTGGGTGGGCGCTGGGAGCAACCCTTGGAGGGGGGGGAGGGGGGATTGCAGGTCGGAGACCCCTTTACTGCCCTCCGTGGGGCCGGGGAGGGGATTCCCAGCTCTGCCCGTGGCTTTCAGGGGGGGAAAGGGCCGCAGCATCGCGATGGGGCCGGAGAGGACGGGACCCCCCCGGAACCAGCCGGCAATGCCACGCCTGTGGGATGCGAGTGGGGGGGATCCGGCCGGGGCGGGATGCGGGCAGTACCTCCCCCCGCCGCCCCCGCCCCCTGCAGCCCTCCCCTCCTCCTCCCGCTCTTTCACCTCCTCCTCCTCCTCCTCCTCTCGCTCCTCTCCCGCACAACCCGGGGCAGCCGCCGCCGTCCCGGCCCGATCCGCTGCTCCGCTCCGGCTCCGCTCCGTTCTGCGGTTCCCATGCGGGGCGGCCCCGCGTCCACCCCCCGCCCATGGCCCGGCTCTCGGTGAAGGAGCACCTGGACGGGATCCTCAGCGACTTCGAAGGTGAGGTCGGGACCCCCCGCCCCGAGCCTCATCCGCAGCCGCGTTTCCCCGTGGGTGCGTGAAAGGCTCTCCCCGCGTGTATCTCCGCGTGTACGTACGTGTGTGAATGGTCTGGATGGTCCATGTGTGTCTCTGCACCGCCCCACGCGTGCATCCCGAGACCCGCGTGGGCTTCTCCCACTCTGTGCGACCGAACGGGGCTGGGCAGCTTTGACGGGGGAGAGGGGGGATCCGGCAACAGCGAGACTCGGCTTTTTTGGGGTGTGTGTTTGTCTTTTTTCTCCCCCCTTTTTTATCTTCCTTTCAGCCCCAACTCCCCGCCTCCCCCCCCCCCAAGTCCCCCCCTCCGCCGCTCGCCGGGGTCGGGAAGGGGCAGCTCGGGGAGGAGCGGGCGGAGAAATCCGACCTGGGGCGGCTGCTGCCCTCGGCGGGAGGAATGCAGCACCTACCGGGGGGGGGCACGGGGTTCAGCGGTGGTAGAAACGCGAGGAAGGGGAGGGTGCAGAACCCCTTGTCTCTCTCCACCGCCCTCCCCGGCAGCCCCGGGCTGGAACATACCTGCCGGCCCAGAGCTGTTATTAGCATCACCCCCGCCCCGACCCCTGACCCCTGTGCCCAGCCCCGGGCACAGGGCGGTGACCTGGGGAGGGGACGGGGCACCGAGCCCCAGCTCGGCCTCTTTGCCCAGGGTCCCCATCATCCCCCAGGTCCCCATCATCCCCCGGGTCCCCATTACCCCCGGGTCCTTATCATCCCCTGTGCCTATCACTTCAGGTCCCCATTTCTCCCTTATCCCCATCGCTCCCCGTGCCCGTTCCCATCACCCGCTGCTGACGAGGCCTCGTGCTGCACACACGGCAGAGTGGCGGGGGGGTGGGGGGGCTCCGTGGGAGCTTCAGCTCCCGGCGCTCTCCGTGGGGAGCCGGCACCAAACGGAGCCGCTGGGGCGGATCTGGCAGGAGCGCAGTTCCCAGGGGGGCCGCACTGCCGCTTCCTGCCTATGGGAGGGGTTAATGGGGGTGGGGGCGTCCCTCCATGCAGACCCACCGCGGCGCTGCAGCCAGAGGAGAGCAGCTCCCAGAGTAGTGGAGTGCCCCGATGGTGCCCAAAGGGCTGCGAATGGACGGGGGGAGCACGAGGAGCGTTCAGCCCCAGGACACAGCACCGGTCCCAACCCCCCCGTATGCATCTGCCTGCTTGTGGTGGAGGGTCAGAGCCCTCCTGGCAGGGGCAGTACGGCTGTAGGGTGGGAGTGCCATCTGATGGCTGTGCCATCAGTAGGCTTCAGGGTTAACGCACCGGAATAAGGCAGGGATCCTGCACTGAGCTGTGCTGAATGAGGGGGGAGAGCAGCAGCTTGGGCAGGGATCTGGTTACGTGGGGCCGGATCCCTTACAGGGGAATAAAGCGGGCACTGTGCGGTGCGGGGAGCCGGGAGCCACGGCACCAACCCACAGATAAGTGCTGGGGAACAAAGCCGAGGGGCCGGCAGCACCGATCTGGTTTCCCATCTGGGCTGGGCTCACAGACGGTCCTTTGGCACCTGGTGCACGGGGGGAGCCCCTAAAGTTGCAGTGCCACCGAGCCCCAGTGCTGCCCTCACACCTCTCCGTCTCTCCCCAGCCCTCAAGAAGTCGTTCGAGGCAGAGGATGCAGGTGATGCTCCCGGATCCCCCACTGCGTCGCCGCTGCCTGCGAGTGCCACCGAGAGCCACCGGGTGCTGCAGCCCGGCCCTGCACCACACAGCCCATTGCTGCGGGGTCAGCACCGTGCTGGCCGGGCTCCTGGCAGCATCACCTCCTTCCAGAGCCACACGGGGCCGGGCAGCGACGGTGAGAGCCTGCGCAGCTCCAGCTCCAGCCTGGAGAGCCCTGCGGCCCCCCAGCCTCCTGCAGCCTCCCTGGCTGCCGACTCCTGCTTGAAGAAAGTGCCATCGCACGGCTGCGTCTTCCCAGTGGAAGCAGAATGTTCCCTGCATGTGGCCGCCGGGCACAGCTCGCTGCCAGCACTGGACCTGCACATCGCCGAGGAGCCAGGAATCCCCCTGCCAGCCCCACACCCCACACAGCCATGGGGTGCCCACAGCCCCTCTGCCCTGCTCCACACCCGCCTGCCTTCCTCCTCCTCCTCCTCAGGTGGTGAGATGGCCCCAGGGCTGCCCCGCACCCAGCTCAGGGTCAGTCTCAGTGCCAGCCCCCGCCTGGCTCGCCCGACCCCCCTGGCTGTCACTGCAGCCAGCGGCCCCGGGGAGGGGCTGCTCCCCCCAGCTGCACCCTTCAAGCTGGTGTCACAGCCACAGACGGTGCAGGTGAGCTCCCAGCCTGCCTTCCTCGGCGGGGTGGTGCTGGGGCCAGGCACCCCATTGGCACTGAGGAACATCGGCAGCACCGGCCCCACCGTGGGGAGCTGCTTGGTGATGCCACGAGGGCTCGGCCAGGCTGCAGATGGATGCTGTGCCACGGTGACACTGGAGCACGGTAGGACTCTGTCCTTTCTCTGGGTGTGACATTGCCACCTCGTGCCACCACTGCTGGTGCTGGGGACTGGTGGTGGTGGGGATGTGGTCACAGTAGTCAAAGCCTCTCAGGATCCCTGAGCCGTTGCTCCCATCTCCATGTTGTTCCCGTGCTGGTTGCTGCTTTCATGATAGTGGAGATGTGTGATGGCCACGTGTTCCAGGTGCCACTTGAATGTGTGGCTGTAGGTGGCAGTGAGTGGCACTGTGCCCTGCTCAAGAGCCACCATGCAGCCTGGCAGCGCCCCGTGTCCCCTCCATCCCCTTGCCCTGGGGAGCCCGGTCACAGCACGGGGCCACAAGGCACCAGGCTCAGCTGCATCCCCATCCATCCCCAGGGCACTGCCGTCCTCGGGGCCGGACGCCACGGTGGCCGCCTGTTTGTGTGCCTGGGGAGAGCTGTCTGTGTGCCTGGGGAGCACTGCTGTCTCTCTCAGGTGTCTCGCATGCCGCCGTCGCCGCGGCTTTAAGTACTGACGCGCGCAAAGGCATCCATCCCTCCATCCCTCCATCCATCCCTCCGCTCGGGGCTGCGTGAATCATGCGGCAGCAATGCCCGTGGCCGAGCCGGCCCGGCAGCGCCCGCGCTGGGGGACACGCTGGGGACAGTGGTTCGGGTGCTGGGGACGGGATGGGATGGGTCACGGAGTGGGCGTGAGCCGGAGGGCAGCGGGCGGGCGCCGGGACG